CAGTGCATTTTTTTTATAGTTTTGTGCTATAGCAACTAGAAAATAACCATAGATTAGAACAAAAATGTAAAGAGGTGAGTGCCTAGGTACATCTAATCAATCCTGCTGGCTGATTGTGATTCACTAATCATTGAGTATATTAAATCCGGTTGATAAATAAGTATGTTAGAGATTTAATATGTATCTAATCAAGGTGAACCATCATCAGGTAAAAAATGCAGAAGAATGGAATAATATAAACAGTTGTAGCAAATTCATCCTTTAAAGTACACAACTCAATTTTGAAGGGATGTTCTAGAAAGAAACATCTTTTCAACTCTGGGAGGAATAAAGTACATATATAGACAAGCGAGTGCAGTCATGTTGATGGAAATACTTCTATGAAAATACGTGACAGGAGAGTCTTGTTACTGGGCATCAGATTAGAATCAAAATTCCAGGATATTATTAGATTGCCCAGCCATCTGGACATACAGCCATTGGCAAAATGGCAATGTTTGAAGATAGCAACGTTTAAGACTTTTCAATGTTCAAATGCATATTAGAATATATTATCACTCACTTAAAGGCCCCATTCCTAAAAGATTCTAATAGAATTAGGAAGCCAACTAACTCACACTATGTATGCTAATCACAACATGTATAACCTTAACATTGACTGGCTACTACTACATACAATATGTCACTTTCGATGGCTATGTTTAACTTTAATGGCCAGGTATCCAATATTCGGATGAGCATAGTTTCAGATGGATTTGGAACTTTTATTACATACATAATTATTATTATTGTTTGTTTAAACATATATATAATGAAAATAGAAATACTGTACTGTTTGTGGTATGGTAAAAAAACTTGAGAAATTTAGGAATACAATAAAAAATAATCTAAAAGGAAATATTTTTTCTTTTTTGATAATAATTATTCAAAAGAAGAATCATTATGAAAGGTTAATTATTGTTACATAATGAACACAGAATTTTTTTTTTTACAAAAAGATGATGACATGTAATAAGTCTGTAGAGAAATTTATTTAATTTTTCTACAGACTTATTCTAATATCTATCTATCTATATACTTAGAACTACAAATATTCATCATGTTATCATCATAAAAAAGCAGTGCAGAATATAGTGACAAAACATTTACACAGACCGGTTTAAAAATTAATAATTAGACAACAGGATGGCATACTGGTTTGTGTAACGGACTGCAGTTCCAAAGGTCAAGGGTTCAATTCCCGCTCCAGTCAAACATTTGTGTGCATGAACATTTATTGTTTGACTTGGTCTGTGTGTCTATGTATAATAAGTATGTACTGTGTGTAATAAGTGTGTGTATATTACTTTTGTAGTACCCATAGTACAACCTCTACTTAGTTTGGGACTAGATGGCGTTGTGTGAATGTGGTAGAATATTAAAACAAAAAAAAAGTAGTGGACAGCAAGTATCAGAAGAAATAATACAGAAATATAACAGAGATTTATAATTGTTTGGCAGCTCTTTTGAAATTTCAATAGCAATTATGTAATAATTGCTATATTAAACTACAAGCAACAGACATAACACTTGTGTACATATTGTACACTACTTTGTAAGCTATATACTTGACTGATAAAGTCTAAATTGGTCTATCGCTAAGCCATTTGAATTTTGAAATATATCCACAGGCATTTTATTGAGGGCATAGCTGTTTTTAAGACTTTAATCTTGCCAGATTTTAAGTAATTATGTGCTTTGTGTTGCTTTGGACAAAGAATATTATCGTTATAACGTAATCATAATCTTCCCTGCACAGACGATTCCAAAGTGCGGCAAAGTTACAATAAGTTGACACGAAATCAATACCGAAGCGGCAATAACCTGTTAAAATGTGACCTCAAAACGAGATACTATTTTGCATGTATGAAAAATAAACAATTACAAATATAATCAGCCGAATCTCTTTACAAATTTAGTATTGTTAGAATATTTAAGAAATTATAAAATAAATGCCGAAAAGACGATATATTCCATAAAGCTGACATTGATATGACTTACCTTAAATTTGTGTGCACTGAGTGAAATTAATAGAACACTTTTTTATACACTGTTTACACCAACATGGCTTTTTGTTTTTTTTTTCTGAAATTACTTTATAATCTGATAAAACCCAGATAGCTGATTGAACCCAGATTTGACATTCGTGACGGTGACACACAGGGATGCACAGGGATGTTTGTAGAGGTACGCAAAAAGTATTAAGTACTTCGTATCGAAACCAAGTACTTTTGGAATCAATACTTTTAATCCGATACTTTTGAGGTATCGATTCTTTCTAAAAACATCGATTCTTTCTTTCTCTCCATTTCTAATAAATTGGTGGTGATGGACCTTTACGATCTGCATTATCTGTGTGGTGTTTCTTTTCGTTTGAACTATTTATCTTATTCAGTTTTCTGAAAATTGCAGTCCCTAATTGTATTATTTCATTATTTGCACAGCATCTTGCAGTTCCTTTGGAAAGTAGGTACTTTTCTGAGATATTCCTGAAAGAAGTAGTTTAGAAGGTGCCTACGGTACGAAATAATTCTTTCGTTTCGTCTCCTCTTATTCGAAATAAAAACGTAGAATATATATCTCGTACTTGCATTTTAAGTTAAATCAAGCACAAGAAAGTCTAAAATATAAGTATAAAAGTATTAACAAATACTCGATACATCAGGTATCGATGTCGATACTTTTGTTCGATACTTTTTTGGTATCGATACTTTTGATACGATACTGGTATTTTATTTTGAACTTTCATTTCAACCGCTAAGGTTGTAATGTAGTTGTAGTAGAATGTAGTTCGTCAAAGAACTCTAGAAAAGAAATGTTAATCAATTTATGATTTTTAGAACTTACACTTTCTTTTAGACGTTAGCTCCTGTTTATCAAACAACGCTAGAAATGAAATATTTATTAAGTTATGATTTTCAAAGGTATCATTTTATTTTGAACTTTAGGTTTTTTTATAAACCCTGCACATAGATACCTTAGACGTTCAAACAGATACCTTCCACCGAGCCCCACGGGCCTTTGACTGTTTCACGGACGCTTCCCTGCATATGTGGTCACCCGGAATAGACTTCGCGCTCGCGAGCACTCTGGAGAGTGTTACGACGCTACGCTGGCCTGATATTGCTAAGGCGACAGGTGGCTGGTTGACAGTCAGGAGAGTTCTATTTTAGGGTGGATGGAGGATAATGAAAATGCATAATGCATTTTCTTTATTTTTAATGTAGCACGCCGTACGCGGTCGTGTTGTGTTTTTGCTGTATGTCATGGTTACAATATAAAATATTGTAAACTTTTACTATTTATAATGATATAATTATTTTTGATCTATTGTCACTTCAGATTGACTTTCAAACGAGCGAGTTATCCACGGAAGACCGGTATAATTTTGTCGGAAAATCGACCAAATACCCAACCATCAAATTTGTTGAAATAATAGAAAAATTTGGTCAATGTAACTCACGGTTGATTTTTGTTTTATTTTTTCCAAATTATCTTTTTTTTACCCTACTAAAATTACCGATTAATGCACCTGGCAAGCACCTGGTAAGTCAGTTGCACATAGGAAAACTCTTCTGTGTATCCAAATACCCAATACATACACTGATTTAGTCTATACCACTGGCACCGGTTGTTTTGTCAGCAAGCACAGTATAATATTGGGATTCTTAAAATTGTCGAGTACCTCTATCAAAACGATAGAGTGCCAACGATTAATCAGCTGATTTTTCAGTTGCTCAGTTACGTAGTGTTTTTGGGCACTGTCTCTAAATGTTTTCGGAGAGATGAATCACCTGAGTCCATGCGAAATTTCAAAGGTACTCGAAATTTTCCTGGACCGATTTCATCACGATCACTCAATGTATGGTACTTGTGTTCATCTTGTAGCCTCTTAACTCAACACTCCTCAATAATTAGTAAGGAACAGCTGTATCCTGCTACGCTTCGCTGTGGCACGTTGTGGTTGCATTTACGAGAAATGAGGCACAAAACTGTCGCAAAAAATGACTAAAAACAAACTTTGAAGCGTATACGTTGTATTTCGTATCAGCGATTTTGAAGCGTACAAATCAACTTAACATTTTATAAAGATAGATAACAATTAATGAAATTGTACTTGAGGTAGTATAAAAAATGCTAAAAATTTAATACCTCTATTTAATATTTACCTATTATCAAATTTAATTTTAGATTTTTCATAGCAGGACTCAGATGCTTTTGGGGGCGGGGCTTGAGCCCCTTAGCTCTTTTTTTTTTTTTTTTTTTTTTCGTGCGGAAATCCCCTCGGATACCACCTGTCGGTGGCAAGTCGGACTCGAACCGACTAAAACCGCACGCCGTCTCGGGTATAGCATAGCCGGGGAACTAGGTATACCCTAGAAAAGAAGTCCCTGGTGCAGCCCTTTAGCCCTCCCCGGAATCCGCCACTGAATGAAACATACACTTATCTGTGGTATGATATTCCTTTATTTACATTTTTGACATAATTTGTGCACTTTCGAAATACACAGGCAGGCATTTTATGACTTTTTTTTTTTAAATCATTTAGTACGTGAGCTTGTTCGCAGTGGTACTAATTAGGACCCTCGCGTTTTGTGCGTTGGTGGTGTATCTAAAGGGCTATTATTTAATCTCAGAAGGACTTGAATAACTTTTAGAAGCTAATTTAAGTACCTTTGATACCTTTGGTACCTTTGAGAGTTACAATATTTGCTTTACTTATTTCATTTGTTCAAATAAGTTCTATTATTCCAAGAGTTTTCAGACATCAAGTATTTTGGCATTTGATGTGTCAAACTGTCAAGTACTGCAGTCAGTACTTCTGTCACTTCTGTGTAATTAAAGTTGACGTTCCATTAATTGTGTGTTTATTGTTTGTTTAAATATTTTAGTGTTGTCGTTTGCTCGTTTAAGTCGCGAATAGCTCTAAAATTAGAAGAAAGAGTAAAAAATAATATAATATGACGCCAATATCTGCTACGTTAAACAGCTTAATAAATGGGAAAAGAGATGTTTGCTGTCTATGTTTGAATGCCATTCATGAGCAGCCTATTCGATTAACCGATGATATAATTATTAATATGAATACAAAGGAGTGTGATAAGACCGTGGAAGAAGTTCTTAAGTCCATATTTGATGAAGGGGTAATTAAGAATTAGTGATAATTGTTGCCAATCTTAGTATAACTTGTTCACTTCATGTCATCATCTACGATTAAAAGTCACTGCCTATTACCACAACAATTATTTTATTTTAGACTGCATGAGCTCGTAAATATATTGACCTAATAAAAACTTTAACACAACAGTCTGATCTCAAACTAATCAGGGCCTATGCTATGGTATCAGACTGCTAATAAATATACTTAAATATTTCTAAATATATACACATTATAGATAACACTAGATGTAAATTTTAGAAGAAATGAATTAAGTTAAATTTGAATTATGTTAGTAGATACTCATCTGACAAGTAAATGGAAATTATTCTTTTTGTTTTTAATTGTCTTCAACAAAGAGGAGGTTTCTGTCCTCACTGTTCATTTTAGTTTGTGTAATTCTCTTTTTAAATGAATTGGTGGTTCAAGATTTGCAAAATTTAAATATTAAAAAAATGTACTACAATAAAGAACACATATTAATATAATCAATACTAACATTATAAATGCTAAAGTGTGCCTGTCTGTCTATCTATCTGTCTGTCTACCTCTTCACGCTTCAACCACTGCACCAATTTAGATGAAATTTGGTACAGAGATAGTTTGAGTCCTGTGAAAGGACATAGCTTTCATCTCAGAAAACATCCTTTAGGGATGTGAAAAGGGGGGTGGAAGTTTGTAAGGGGAATCGATAACCGCTAAACTGATTTAGATGAAATTTGTCATTTGGAGATAGTTTGATTCTTGAGGAAGGACATAGGCTACTTTTACACAGTCAAAAGCTAGTATATTATAAATTAGGTGCATTCGAGTTGGTGATACTTTTTAAAAATGTAATTAGGAAATTATTTGACATATATGAATAGATTTTGCTGTCTATATTTCATTTTACAATAACTACATATGTGTGCATGTATACCTACTTACCTACTCCCAAACTATCATCTTATTTATATTTAAACTATCACTCTCACTGTAAGACTATTTTTGAAATTCATGAAAAAATAAGTATTAATTGTTTAACAAACTAAGTATCAATTTCATTATAAGTATAGACTGCAGATAACACTATCCCTTAATAGAAATTTAAATTTGAATTGCCTCCATAATTGTTAATTTTTACACACAGACTTATACATATATGCACAGGCAATTTTTTTGTTTTAGAAGTGTTTTTTTTTTTATATTATAAAAAAAAGCCTACCTACCTTATTCAATAGTACCATACTAACAAATTGTTTCTTTACAGATGCACAACTATATAACTACTTTCAACACAGTTTGTGGACAGTGTACAAAACTCGCATTAAGTTTTTATAAGTTTAAGCAAACATGTCTCATAAATGCTGAATACTTTACCAACATTCTTGATGCTGTCGCCAACAGTATGGAATATACGACAAATGAGTTTAGTGACAGCAAATCATTATTTGTATCATTAAATATTGAAGATTTCACTAGCAAACATTATTATGATATGAAACGGGCTCCCTGTACCCGAAAATCAGCTCTGAAACGGTTCCATAGTTTAGATACTAATATGCTGACTTGCGAAGAGTGTCACAAAGAATTTCATACAGTTTGGAGTTTGAGAAATCATTGTCTGCGTGTACATGCTCCGAAAAAGTTTAAATGTCACGAATGCCCTAGAAGTTACGGTTCAGCAGCATTTTTAGAAAGTCATATAAATGAAAGTCATTGTACTGTTGTGTGCAGTGAATGTGGGAAAACATTCTACAATAGGCATACTTTAAAAATGCATGAACTGGGCCATCATCTGATTCTAGTCTGTCAAGACTGTGGAAGAGTTTATAAAAACAAAGCCACATTTAAAAAACACATAGAACACAATGTTTGCGGACAGAAAACTAGAGCCAACCCGTCCGAAGCAAAGTTTACATGTGATTATTGTAATAAAAAATATACACAAAAGATGTCTTTAAGAGTTCACATACAGTATGAACATGGAAATTATAAGCCTCATATTTGTGAATGGTGTGGTAAGAAGTTCTGTTCTCAAAGTCGTCTTAAAGCACACACAGTGAAACATACAAAAGAGAGAAACTTTCCATGTACTATATGTGGTGGAAAGTTTGTGTCAAAAGAATCTTTATTATATCATACACGGACACATACAGGTGAAAAACCATACAAATGCCCTCATTGTGAATACAGATTTCTTTCAGCTTCTCGTAGGTCTGATCATGTTAAACGGCATCATTTAGGAGGAAATCTAGAATGCGAAATTTGTCATAGCAAATTTAGATCAAGATCATATTTGTTTAGGCACAAGAAGACTCATATGATATCAAATGATAAGCTTAACTTGACATATGGTGGTCCCAAGAGTAATACACCAAAAGCAAGCTGTACGGACCAAAGTATAAGTTTATTAACAAAAAATAATGTGAAGCAAGAAACATCATCAACTAATCACATTTGGAAAATTGATAAACGAGGAGTTGATATTCCAAGTTTCCAGAACGTTATTGAAGCAACAGATGTGCAAATTACGAATTTTGTAAATTCAACTTACGAAGAACATAATACTGAACATTCTGATGACAAGGTGTATTTAGAGATGTCTGAAGAAACTGAAGATTTAATGAAATTAGCTGGCATTGGGACTTAATTTTTTTTGTTGAAAGTTTTTTTTATAACTAAATATATATAATGTAATGGACTTTGAATCATAGCTTTCTCTGTAGTATAGTATAGCATTAATTAAATCCAATCTAGTTATTACAAGTTAGCTTCTATCTTAATTCAAATCTGCAAAAATGTAACTTATTTTAAACTATATTTACTGTATTTACAAATCTATTTATGTTTAAATCTTGTTTAGGTGGGCATAAAATTAATAACCACGTTATTTGTTTGGCGTAATATTTATACCACATCAGTAACTAATAGTATAGGTACTTAAATAATAGCAAATTTACTTTAAGCCCAAATATATTTCAGTAGCAAATGAAATATTTCCTTCGTTTTTCCTCAATCTTATGTCCAAAAAGGTGAAAAAAATCTCATTTCACCCTATTTGGGAAAAAGATGGAATTAAACGAACAAAAATATTGAAAGGGATGATCATAGTGTGTTGCTTGAGGATGAGAACATATTTTAAATTGAAAATAAATAGAATTTATGGTAAATTAGACATACTGGTAATATTAGCTTCAAATGTAAAACGTATAACTTTTTTCAGTACCACTTAAAAATATTTGAAATATACATTTTACATATACCAATTGAATAGTATTTTCTCTCGATCACGTCAATGCAAAATTTCTTTTTGTATTTATGAATAGATTCTTTCTTCAAATTAAATTTAAACTGAAATTTCTAACTATTACCTACTATAGAAAAGGCCGTACTTAATAAAGAGCGTACTCCTTCGAATCAAATTAAACTTCCTATCATACTCAAGTTGTGCCAAATGTTATTAGGAACAATGTAATCACTAATAAGGTTATTGAATCCATGCCAAATATGTTCTACGATAAATAGGTACTCGGTAAAACAATTTCTTAAGGTATCCAAATAGCTAGCCATACACGCACAGATCTGCCTGCCGGATCAGACAGGCAGATCCGTGATTCGCCACACACGAGTACGGCCAGCAGTTCAGATCGTAATGCCAGCAAATACGGTCGTCTGTAAAAACTAGTCTTTTTAAACTAGTGTAGAAGCAAATGGAAAGCTTCTGTCCTTCTTTAATCGTATTCTACTCTAATTATCTGTGGCGCTTTTTTTAAATTTTCCACCCACTTGCTATTGTGGCGCCATCTTAATTTGCTGCCTTTCAGTGGACACTTTTTAATATATGAGATGGTTCTCCTTACCTCTACCCTCCATACTTCGAGTGTTAGAGCGCTACTGACGTCAAATCTGGCGGGTACATCCGTCGCTACGCACACACGCACAGTTGGGAGCTCGGATCTACCCGCCCCGTGCCCGATCCGCTCGATTTGACCACGGGCAGCGGGCCTGCAAATCCGTGTCCGTTCTCACCATACACGCACGGATCTGTCCGCCAGGCACGTTTGTCGGACAGATCCGGCGGGCAGATCTGTGCGTGTATGGCTAGCTAATAAGGGTACCTACCTACTTATCGTTGTAATTAGTGATGTGCCGGTATCCGAGAAAAAAGTTTGTATCCGTATCCGTAACTTTATGGCGAATCTTAAATGGATTTTTACTTACTAATTAGTTACTAATACTAGTCACGTTAGTAAAGGCCTATGTCCAGCAGTGGACTACGATAGGCGATAGGAATCTTCATCAGTAGTACCGTAGTTATAAGGTGATATTTGACCATGTTTATAACGAGATCAAACCTTTAATCTTTGTGATTTGTGTATTAAAACCACCCCATTATCGGCATGAACGTAGGAAAAATTTAAGCTCTGTACCGATATCCGTATTCGCTGGTCTTGACACTAATAATTCGTATTCGTATCGTATATCTACGGATATACATTTTTTTAAATTTGGCACATTAGTAGTAATGTTACAGTTAAAATAAATAAAAAGAACCTTAATTTTAATTCACCACTTTTATTTGCATCGACTCGTACAGAATTTATCCAACCCTCAAACAGTTAAATGGCTTTTTTTTTAACAGTTAAAGTTTCTCCCATATGTCACCGGAAAATTTTAAATACCTACCCTTACACACAAAGTAACTTTTTTTTCTGACGCGTGGAAAATCTCTTCGGATCTCCGGCTCCTCGGGGACGCCCCGAGGCCTCGCCGAAAACCACCCCGAGGGCCGTTGTCAGGCGTCCTGCTCTAGGGGGAAACCGGACCATGTTATTTCAGCCCCCCCCCCCCCCCCCCTCTCAGAAACACACGGTACCACATAGTGTAGTACGCAGACTAGAGTCTATTGTAAGCTTTCGCGTTGGCGTTAGGCAGGCGGCACAATAAAGCCATACCTATTTTCTAAGGGGGCGTCAATTAATTACACAAGGGGTTTTCGGCGATTTTCTGACCCCCCCATCCCCGTTGGTGAGATGTCGTGAGATTTGATTCCACCGTCTCCCCATCTTACCTTAGATTTTTAAAAATGTGTTTTTAGTATAAAGGCTAGCCACCACGATAAAGATTACTGTATAAGACTTGGTCATATTTTCGTGGAGTAATATGTTTTACTTAATTTTACCCAGATTTCTCTCCATTTTACTCTGTTTCATGCAGATAAAAAATTACGTGATGTTTCCCGAGCTATCAACTTTCACTTCAAGAAGTATTAATTGTCTTCTTTTGTCAGTGCATTTTATTTGTATCTATTTATTTATTCAAATGTAAACCGGTTTTGTAAAAGCAAATAGTACGAATCTGCACAATGCACTGAAGAAGAATTAGACTGACACTGATTAAGAAGAAGACAATTATTACTTCTTGAAGTTAAAGTTGATAGATATGTTCCTAGTACTTCCTAGCTATTTACACAGTATATTGTATAGTATGAGAGCTATTTACACTGAATTGACAGTTTTTGCGGCGGCTCGTGTTTTAGTTCACGTGATATACAGATTAAAAATTTACAACTAATTTACTACTTTTTAAAACATCTTTGTAAGTACCTATGTATGTATGTACTTGTTATATTATACTGTTCTTCTATGTAAGAGCCAGGTATACCAAATTAGTAAAAAAATATTGTAATATTATTATAATTAGGGGGTTTTACTTAAGTCCCTGTGGTGACGGATTAAGTATACGGAATGTCATCACCCCTATTCATCATGTGGGTGTCGTAAGAGCTGACTAAGGGAGCAAATTACGCAGGACAACAGCACTGCAAAGAGAAGGAAAACTTGAAACACACCCCGATCCAACCCGTCTGGCCAGCGTGGTATAGTAGGCCAAAACCTCCTTTCTAAGCAGAGGCCTATGTCCAGCAGTGGACTGTTAAGGGCTGTTGATGATGATGTGAAGATGTACTTACATTGAAATGATCCTCACATAAATACAATTAACTTTTAGTTGATAATGAATTAGGATCTCGTTTTGCAAGTTCCAATGAAACATTTCTCATTTCAATATCATCTGGCACTTTGATAAACAACTTTTCTGGAGTTTTAAGACTAGTATTTGTCTACTACCAGACACGACACACCAACGATAGCGATGGTAATTCATTATTTACCCAAAAAACACCAAATATTTATAGCTGTTAATGTTGAATGAGTGCCGGTCGTACATGCACGACTGTTATTTTTACCAAAGTGGCTGATAGCGTTTTCGTGGGAATAAAAAAGGTTTAAAATTTAATTTAATTTTATTGCAAGAAAACGTGTTTATTTTCAAGAAATAGATTTTTTTGTGGCTTATTGTTAAGAAAATCAACATATTGAAGTACTTTTTCAAACATTGTAGAATACCTTATTGCCCGACCAAGCTGGGAAGCTTCAGTCATGACTATAAATACAGTTTCACAATATTAACCGATGATCAGCATGACTGGCTCATTGTATTATCCAGTCTAATAATATCAATCAACTGGTGTTTCCAACATCTAAAGTACTAATATTAATGACTCCTTTAACTACTTAACGAGTAAAGTAGGTAGGTACCTACAGAAATGAATATCGTCTATAATATTTTTGTCCTAACCTATACATTGTTCATTTCCTTTTTTTAAACAATTGATAAAAAATCAGCCTTAAGCTGATTATTTTAGAATACCCTGTAAAAAAATTGCTGTCGGAAGATGCGTTCTGTTATCCCAGATGTTATTGTTATCATGATTATCAGTGTTGACTGTTGACACATGGTTGACAGTTAAGTGTTGACATTGACACTAGTTGGCAGTTAACAACACGAACAACACCGATGACGGCCAAAAACAGCGGTGCTGTAAAGATTGTTTATATTTTTTATTTCCAGTCTTATAAGAATGTGGATTGTTTAAAAAAGCAAAAAATTATAATTAAATATTATAATGACTTTCCTAGAGGATACGCTGATAATCCTGATTTCCCAAGTAAGTTTCGCATAAACAATTTTATAGGTTATGTGCTCACTAGCTTCATTTTAGTAAATATTGTAGTAAGCGCTTTAAATAGAAATACCGACGTGTTAAAGGCTGATGTGGCAGTGCTTATTAGATATTCTAGAAGTGTGTAAACCACATATCGTACTTTTATAAAAAAAAACATATTATCTTCAAGCTAATCTAACAGAAAATATTTAATAATAAATTTGGCATTGTACAGAGTATTAGCAAAATGTTTCTTTTTATAAATATTCGAACAACACTTTATTTAACATTACCTATATTTTTATTTTTCAGACATTTTTCTTCGTCGGCGGCTGGATTTTCTTCGTAAAGCAGTTATTCCGCGACTATGAGGTTCACCACTCGTTGGTACAGCTAATATTTTCGGTAACGTTTGCCCTTAGCTGTACCATGTTTGAGCTGATTATATTTGAAATTATAGGGTACTTAGACTCCAGGTAAGATTTATAGCTAGCTGTTTTTAACCTCCACAAGGCAAAGGCCTCCAATATTACAATCCAATTAGACATCCAATATCACTATTCCTTCAAAGATCTAAATGTTTAACTTATAGCTTTGAACATAAACAATTTAGCATACATTAGCTTTGAACATAAGCAATGTATTGTCCTCATTTATAATTTTCATTTTTTTTTTTTAAATTGTTTAAAGATTTTGGATTTCTTATCAATTACTTAAATCTTTAATTAGTAATAACTATATAGTATATAATAATAATTACACCGTAAAATTTATTTTAATATGTTTGTCAGATTTTTAAGAATAAGATTAGTATTATATGTATGGTTTAGGAAGATTAATTATACAAACAAATAAATTGCCTCATTTCCTCTAGAACTTGTTAATTAAGTGTGGCAAGTATTTGTATTTGCCACATGCCTTGTATTTTGCCTTTTCATGTTGTGTATGCTAATTTTGGATCTCTGTCTAGACTTAATATGTACCTATCTCCTAAGATTTCCTGTAACATGTAATGGCAGTAATCTATGAGTGTGCCTTTTAGAAAAAAATAATAAAAAAAATACAAAAACCATTAAGGGTCAAATTTCCTTATTTTACCAGTGAAATGGTTATGCTTTTGAAAGGTTTAAAATGTATCCATAAAACTTCATAAATTATTGAAAAATAGCCCGTCTGTTATTTAATATGTACCTTTTTTAAATTGCAGCTCTCGCTACTTCCATTGGAACATGGGACTCTACTCTCTACTTTTTATGGTGATAGCTCTCATACCTTTCTATATTGCATACTTTTGTATCAGCAACATTAGATTTGGTAAGTTTACTCTTTCAAGAGTATTATCTATGAACTTACATTTTTATTGTTAGTAGAGTGTAAGAGTAGTAAGAGTAGTGACATAAACTTTATTAAAAAAGAAATAGCAAAATAAGAGTGTATCATAATATGACATAAAAATGGATTGGTAACAGTGTTAGAAAAGAGTGACCGGTTTATATTGTAGGTTCAACCAGCGTCTTTAGTTAGTTTGTCAAGGAAAATATTTACTTGGCATATCCTAAATCACTAATCATGCACTGAGATTGAATACTCTTTGGAGAGGTAGCACAGTATTAGCTACTATTTTTACAAATTTAAATTTGTCTGTCATTAGTCGTCAGGGAACTTTTCCTTTAGTCCTTATATGTGCAAAATTTTATGTCATCTGGTGAAGTAGTTAGGGGGAGTGGGTTAATAAAAAATTAACAAATAAAACATGTCTTTTTGACTTGTGGGCAAGAGCAATAAAAATTTTAGTACCTGGATAACCGAGCTTTATTTGTTTTTTTTTTGGTAAGTTTCCTAAAATTGAAACCTAGGTAGATCGATTAATCGCGCCCGAAACCCCCTGCATACTAAATTTCATGGAAATCGTTGCGAGCCGTTTCCAAGATTCAGATTATGTTACACATTTATACAAGAATTGCTCGTTTAAAGGTATTAGATTAGTTAAGTACTTTTACATATGACCTTTTTAAAGTGATAGTAAATCTTTAATCTTTAGTAGTGAGTTAGTCTTTAGTTACTAATAGTATTGTTTTTATTTAATAGTCTCATTGAACATGATACGACCGTTGACAATGTGTGTGTGGTTCATTTACTTGTACTTTTTCTGGAAGATTGGAGATCCATTCCCTATATTGAGTCCAAAACAGGTGAGTCCATATTGTATTGCCACATCTATATCTATACAAATAAATAATATTGAAGTGTCTGTGTAATATCAAAATAATAGGTTTTTTCATGCTCACGGAGTTATTTGCACGATACCTATTCCTAAATGCCAGTTAAAACATTTTTTGTCTGTCTGTCTGTTTGTTCCGGGTAATTTTGAAATGGCTGGACCGATTTTGATAATAATTTACTAAAATAATCATTTGTTCTGTGTCTGTGAGTAATTATCTATAATATGTATATATTTAGTCTCTTCTTTCCAAAATTAACTTTATAACCAAAGCTCTCCTACCTGTCCGTCCATCCCGGACACTAAATATCTTCGCTCCTAAATTACATAAAAATTACACTCGCAATAACTTTGTCACACGCTCCCTTAATATATATAACAAAGACTTCCATAGTATTGATCTTTTTAATAACTCTTTGAACAATGTTAAAAAAATGTCTAAACGTAAATTGTTTACATTTACTTAGTAATGTCGTAATGCTTGTATTTCTTTTAAACCTTTTATTTTCTTTCTTGTGTCTTTCCACAGGTTATTTGAGTCTAACACTCTGTGAAATGTACTACATTTATTTAAATCCATTTTTGGGTACTCCTTGTCTTTTGTTCAGTGTATTTTTATATTGCTTTATGTTTAATGACTGTTTTGTACCAAAACAAATGAAAAAAAAAAAAAAAATAGTGTGTTTATCAGCAGTCTTTTTACCGTAGTACAGGCTCTGCGTAGCTTAGGATCAGACGGCCGCGCCGTGTGTGAGGGGTGTGAAGTTATCATCTATTCATTCGACTGCACGGATGGCGTAGTTGTCTAAGCGGTCGCCACGCCGTTTCCTACTGCGCTGAGTGTTGTGGGTTCGATCCCCACATGGGACACCATTTTGTGTGATACACTAAATGTTGTTCTGAGTCTGGTTGTTCTTTGTGTCCGTTTCATGTATGTTTGTAAAGCCCCCGCGACACAGATAGATAGATATATTCCTGCGGGAGTTTCCTTTTAAAAACTAATAATATAGGTTCTATTTAATGTGTAACATCTTCCCTCTTATTGCAATCTGTTTGAGTGATCTCATGAAGAAGGATGAACAAGTGCTATTTGATTTGACTAGTGACCACACTCATTGCAAGATGTCAGCATTTCAGATGTTACACATCATATCTGGCTAATGTAATGATTACTCATTTATTCTACGTCTTTACAAAAGCTACATTATAATATCCAGTTACTGATAAAAGTCTAACAAAAAGTAATCCCTCTTTCTATTCTCCATGTAATTTTTTTAAATCTTTAAATCTTTCAGGGTATATTTTCTATAGAGCAGGGTGTGTCCAGAATAGGCGTCATCGGTGTGACAGTAATGGCTCTGCTATCAGGCTTTGGTGCTGTGAACTATCCTTACACATCCATGGCCATATTTATAAGGTACCTAATCTTATCTTTTATTAAGTCTGAATGATTGTAATCCTTAGAGATATTATGTTTGTACTGAAAGGTGTTCTATTATCCTATAAGTTCCTATAGTTAGCGCATTCTGTCACGGGAGAGTTATGCTTCAGAACAAATGGAAGGGAGAGATAGCACGACTTAGCAGAATACCAGTGTTTAAGCAATTCTTTTGTTGTTCTTTAAGTGAGTGAGGTAACTGAGACCAAACTCCTCCCCTCTGTTTCTTGGGAAGGAGGGAATCAAAGGGAGGCCGCCACGCACTTGTGACTCTTGAGTTGTAGCTGCCCATGGGCGGCTGTAGTCACTTACCACTAAGTGTCTGTTTGTTTGCCTCCCCATACCATAAGTAAAGGAGAAATGTATAAAAATGGAACATTACGTATATTTAAAAACAGGTGCCAAACTACTACTTAAATTATTCAACTCTATATTTTGTGTGGCTTCACTCACGTTAAAGTAGGATTTGTAAAATAATAATAATAATAATATTCTACCACATACACACAACGCCATCTAGTCCCAAACTAAGTAGAGCTTGTACTATGGGTACTAGACAACTGATATAAATACATATATACTTTTTTTTTTGTAAATACATACATATTATACATAGAAACACCCAGACCAATACTTTTTTTTTTGTAAATACATACATATTATACATAGAAACACCCAGACCAAATCAAACATCAAATGTTTATGCACACAAATGTTTGACTTGAGCGGGAATCGAACCCGCGACCTTTGGAATAGCAGTCCGTTACACAAAATGATTGAAGTGTCAATGTATTCTGTTCTAAAGGACCTTATTCCCTTTTCTGTATGCCTGACTAAATACATGCTGAGTTGTTAAGGTGTAAAGGCCTAACTAAAACCATATTATTTTTGTTACAGACGAGTATCACAATCAGATGTGTTATCAATAGAGAAGAAACTTTTACAAACTATGGACATGATTTTGGTAAAAAAGAAGAGAATAGCATTAGCTGAGGCCAATCATATGGGAGCGAGACAACAATACATGGATCAGTCTAACATGAAGAATAGAGGTGGTTTCTGGACCAATATATTGTCTAGTGTTGGGAGTATTGCTAATCCACTTGGACATGGGACTGAAAGTGAGTTACTTAGTTTTTAAATAATACTTTGAACAGATAGTTGGAAGTATTTATTCACAGTTTTCAAATTGAAATTGCCAAACTTTTATAAAGTTAAGTTTAGTTGATATAATCAAAGATACTGTAGTAAAAATATTTTATATCTAAATATATCTCACAGTTGAAATATTTCATGTATTATCACCAGACCTCCACAACCCAAGTACTGGGCGATATGGCAGTTCTGCATATAGACTGTCAATGTGTTTAAGAGTCACACCCATCGATAGACTGACCTGGCTAGGATTGCTTCACTTTGCTTTGTGCTAACCTATTGGTTACGACATAGCCACGAGCCCTCTCGTATTATTATAATATTTGATTAATTATTTGTTAATAGTTTTTATAATAAACTAATATAACTTGCAGTCCTGGGATAATACAGGTCATACTAATGTTGAGGCTGTGAAAAAGTGGTTAATTTTTTTAGGATGCAAGGCCACGCACGACCTCTGTGTCTCCAACGGGGGGTATGATGCGCATTGGTAAAAGCATTCCCGGGGAAAAAAAACCTACCGACCTACGAAAGAACCTACTTCGATAATGTTATAAATAGGTGTTATAAAAATGATTTTTCATTGTAATCCTATTTATATGGCAAACTGGATTTAGCTGCCTTTAATTTAATAATCTTACTCTTTCAGACATAAATCAACTCCGTCAAGAGATTTCCGGTCTTGAGGAGCTAAGCAGACAGTTGTTCTTAGAGGCTCACGATGCTAGGACCATGAGGGAGAAAATAGAGTGGTCCACAACATTCCAGGGAAAATATTTCAACTTTCTAGGATATTTTTTCTCATTATATTGCATTTGGAAGATTTTTATTGTAAGTATAACTTAGAAATTGAACTTAAAACTAGTTGTCTTTAGTATTTGTTGACATCTCGAGCTGATATACCGCCATTGTATGGTGCTTGTATGGTCTTGAGTAGACCAAATTATACTATAGTACTGTATGTTGGTAGTGGTCATCATTATTTGTGAAGGCAGAAAGTACAACAAACCTATAAAAATAAGCTCTTTTCATTTTTTGGTGCATTACAAAATGTGTTATAGAAACGAAAAAAAAAACAACAAACATAGATAAAACCACATCATAGTCTAGTTTTTGCTCAGAACTTCAGCATGCTTAATCCCCCCCTTAATCATTTTTTACAAACAGAAAGTTGTTTTTGACATTGATATTGACAATGTGGCGAAAATCTAAGCCCTCCCTCTGTCCCTGTGACTAATCATGGAAGTTTGAAGACCCTGGGTATGTTGCCTAATTTAAAGAAAATCCTTTTTTAAATATTCTCTCATCCTACCTCCTTTCAGTCAACAATCAACATTGTATTCGACCGCGTCGGTAAAAAGGATCCCGTGACCCGGGGCCTCGAGATCGTGGTCCACTGGCTGGGATGGAACATTGACGTGACCTTTTGGTCGCAACACGTGTCCTTCATACTCGTCGGGTGTATCGTGCTCACTAGCATTAGAGGGTTACTACTTACGTTAACTAAGGTGAGAATGTGTATTACCCGTACATAACAGGATATCAGAAGAATTGCCACAAATGTTCGTATGGTGTACTCTCCGAGTGGCTTCAATGTGTTGTCGCCCATCCATAGACTGACCTGGCTAGTATTGCAATGTGCTAAGCTATTCAGTTAGCCATTAGTCCTCTCATATTATTAAATAGTTTATTTAATTAATTAATATAAGTTCTATTCCTAGAATAACACAGGTCGTATTAAATGCCGTGGTATACGCCAATCCGCATCCATCCGCTGCCATCCATTTTTCTCAAGTCGTCGGTCCATCGTCCGGGATGGTTGACGCTCCTTGGGAGAGGCCTTCGTTCAGCAGTGGATGGCGATAGGCTGATGATGATGATGATACGCCATCATTTTGCTGACAGTAATTTTAGTCCCGCTTACGTAATAGGGAAAACTTATTTCCATCAACCAACGACATGTATTTCTAAATAATATATTAAAGATAAATTACACCAAAACACAGTATAAAGGATCGTGCTCATCGCGCAGTATTTGTCCTGGGTGGGAATCGAAACTACGAGCTCTAGCTGTGAGCATCGCTAACCACTAGACCAACAGGCATTTAATGCGCCTCTGTTTACCCCTTCGAGGATGATGACGTGAGAAAAAATATTCGTATAGCTGTACTTGCTTTAAAAACACAATCTTTTAAATTTCGAACGTTTTTACTTTCTCGTTCCATTTTTAACCAAACGGGAAATGTATAAACACACATGCCTTGGATTTCGATGACGTTTCGATCGGCTTTAGTGGTTTGCGAATGTCACCACAGCCATTGCAATCTGTTAAAAACGTCAGGTAATTCAAAGGTATGTAAATATGTACCTAGTGATTGCGTTAATTCAGATAATAATTATATTTCTAATCCCGTTTGGATAGTGAATTTGTAATGTGGTGATTTTGAAAACTGCTGATCTTGCGTTAATATGCAACGAATTTTAAATATTAGATTTGACAAATGAAATTTGTATTACGAAATGTACTGTATACTTCAGAAGTTGTTATTTGTTGTTGATATGGTATATACCTAGCTAAAATCTACTGTACATTTTTTTTTCAGTTTTTCTACAAAATCTCATCATCGAAATCATCGAACATCATAGTTTTAATCCTCGCTCAGATCATGGGGATGTACTTCTGTTCATCAGTGCTACTTATGAGGATGAATATGCCACCGGAATACCGTATCATCATCACCCAGGTCCTCGGTGATCTCCAATTCAATTTCTATCACAGGTGGTTTGATGTTATATTTTTAGTAAGTGCACTTACTAGTATATTTACGTTATACTTGGCTCATAAACAACCTTCTGTGAACTAATATTTAACTGTACGTAGTTAGTAGTTAAGTGTATTTTTTTGTAAGGTCTTTTTTTCTCTTCTGTTCTTTGTGTCTGCTTCAAGAATGTTTGTAAAGGCCTCCGCGACACAGGATATGTATCCTAGTGTGGGAGTTGTCTTTTATTAAAAAAAAAAAAGTACATACGGCAGTCTGATCTCAAACTGGGCAGTGCCTGTACTATGACAACCAGACCGCTGATAAACATACTTAAATATTTTTAAATACGTACATATAATGGATAAATTCATATCACTGTTAGAACTTCACTGACGATAAGTTCTTTATTCTAGTAAGTATCATGTGAAACGTGATAATTTGTGAATATCATGGACGGAGAGGCTGTATTATTGTTGTGTTAGCTTTGATGAATTTTGTATAATCCTGCGGCTAGTATAAAAACTAAGTTAAATGTGGTTAAATGGACTAGTCAAACCGACGAGGGCCCTCTTTCAAGGAGCGAAGCATGTCGCAAAACTAATCAGTCAGGCATACCTGAACTACACATGCGAGTAAAATAGTGCAATTTTAATAAATACATATGTATTACGAAAGTTTTATTCTAATTATTATGTCATTACCAAAATTATTGCACAAACCTGGACTAGGCTAATTAAGTTTTTGAAAATCTCTGATACTTCTAGAAATTGAACTACCTAATAAATCTTTAATATTAAGAAGAAAAAATGTTTTAAAAACAAATATGGCTCACGGAAGAATATCATATTTGGAATACTTAATGTTTATATGTAAACGAACTGAAAGCTAAAAAAAAATTAACAATCTAATACCTTTAAACGAGCAATTCTTTTATATATTAATATGATATATAATCTGAATCTCGGAAACGGCTCCAACGATTTTTTTTAGGGGCTAGCTTTTTTTTTTAAATCGATCTAGCTAGGTTCCACATCTTGAAAATTTACCCAAAAAAAAACGAGCAAAGCTCGGTCATCCAGGTACTGTATGTTAAAATGGCTACATAACACTATAAGGGTCCAGTATATATTTTGACCTGTCTCAGTACAAAATTGTATAAAATGTAAACAACAGTATGTAGGTATTATACCAATCAATCTAGCTTTCATAGAACAAGTTCTGCTTAGTTTGAAACTAGATGGCGTTGTGTGTCAGATGTAAGAAAGTTTAAAATAAAAATGACAGTCAAGTTAAACTGGTTTGTGAAATAGGACATTGCAAATAGTCGAAATTCGAGCGCCAGATATAGAGATAAAATAAATAGAGGAAGTGAACTGTATATTTCTCTGTAAGCGGTAAATTCCGCCTGGTAGACAGAGAATAAAGTTTGTTTTGGTCTTTCATCTCTCTTTGGCTGATACTGAAGAGGGCAAGAGCAGAGAGAGATGCTAGACCAAAACAATCTTCTTCCTCTCTCTACAAACCGTATGCGATAGCACCTTGTTCGCTTCCATTACCATTTATAAGCTCTTTGACGCCAGATGACCTCTAGTAATAAGTAATATATCTGTTGCTATCTCTGTTATTCGTTAAGCAGTGCCTGTGACAGCAAGCCTTAAATGTGTTACTACAATTTTGTTAGTCATATTTATTATATAAACATGTTACATATAGATTTAAGATTTATTAGAGACGGCGCACACGGCCAACTAAATGATAGGTGGTTGCAGCCGACTCGTAAAATAATAATAATAACAACTTTCTTTAAAAAAAATGTATATAACCATAAACTTGAAAGGTTAACTGAAATAGATTCTTTGCGGAAGGCCTGCATTGGTTCTCGATCAGGTGTTATGGCGCGCTTTGGAGGAGAGGTGATCAGATACGTAACAAGCACATTTATGCTTAACCTTATGCGGTATCTCCAAATGTCGGCACGGAGGCCGCAGTGCTTTAGTGTCCAGCTTACCAACTGGGATCGCTATAATTTAAGCGAGTTTGGTGATATTCCTTTATACAGAAACAAAAAAAATTAAGCCGTCACGGGTCGTCTGGCAGATGTTAGAAATATCGAAATCTTGAACATGGCGACGCGTCGGCACTCTGCATTACATGCTAATCACTCTGTATCACTCTAGCGACGCGTCGCCACGACAACAGACGGTCTGAATCTCACTAAAATATATTCGGGTAAATTAAAATTGATTTAAAACCCAAAAGTGTCTACTTGACCTCCCATCATTTAACTGCCCACGCGCGTCTTCTCTTAGTATTGTTAAGACTGATGCATAAAATTAAGCAAATAAAACATCTGAATAAAATTAAATAGTTTTATTTAACAATTTTATTTTTATCTTACATAAACTATATCGAAATAGTTAAAAATAGAAAAGTTTACATGGAAAGGCCACCTTAAGTTAAACTTACTTAAGAAATATATCTCTTTATTACATTTGAGAAATTGTCATACGAATTTGAACTTTACGATGCAGCAATTATTATTGTTATTGATAAATATTTGATTGAGTAAAGACCCATTTACATGTCGCACAACCATAATTTTAAGGTTAGTTTACTAAAAAACAATTTTGGGGTAAATATAGTTGAAGAATATGCTAACACTTGGAGATTTGCAACCATTACGATACTAGTATTTAGTCAACTTTGAACGTCTGTGGAATCCGAATGTCTGTGGAATGTGAGTTTGAGTTATAAACTGTTAAAAGTTAAATCTTTTTTGTGAGGTCAATGTAATAAACACATTATATTACTTTTAACACGGGGATATAAAATTGTAAGTTTTAAAACATGAAAAACAAATAAATAAAAGATATACCTACATAGACCAAAAGACGTATGTGATCAAAAAATGTTTTTTTTTTAGTTTATGTCGTTCTGATATATTGACTCTAGTTTGAAGTTTAAATTGGTTGCATTTACGGACTTGAAAATGTATTAATAAGTCACATTTTGCAGAATCCATGTCTTTTTTAAATAGAGTTAGAGAGAATGTTAGCACATTCTTATAAAACCTATATTTGTTAATTTAACATAAATTATTTTTTACGCAATAAACGGATTTAAATATTTACAAAACATCTAGAAACCATAAACACAACATGCAATATTTTTATGTAAATGAATCTTTACTATTATAATAATTAAATTTGTTGTTGTCTTTGAGCAATAAACTTTAAAATTGCTATTTACTGAAGCGTATATATCTAGAATATAAAATTCGAACAGTAAAATGACGTCAATAAAGCGATCTGCTCGAAAGACCATCTTTCACAAAAAATCGGCAGGACGAGGTTAGTTTTCTTTTAATTAGGTAATTTAAAATTTCTGTGGTTTAACTAATTATCTGTCACTTTACTGTGCCGAATGAACAACATTGACTATATATGCCTGTCTACTCTCCCATTAGGTCTTCATATTGCTTTCTGAAACAATCTCCCACCGGGAAGAAGTCCCAGCACCTTTGTGTATACATGTTCCATACGTAGGTTTCTTGACCTGTGAAGCAAGAAAGATTAGAAAGAAATATTGAATCCATTTGATCTTAGTGATAAGTGGAACTCCATACTGTTAGATTTATTATTTGTATACTTAAAGATACCACGTTTTATAGAAAGTATTTAAGGTCGTTAGTTCCAATATATTTTAGTTTGCCATATCTAAACAACTCATCAATAGACATGTAAATTTCAATAAATATTTTTCCTGTATTCATTTTCGAAGAATGCTGGGTATTCATAAACATCCTCCGTCTCCCGAAATATTCGTTTTATTGATATTTCATGAAATTTCTAACGTCAACAGAACAGTGTTAAATACTGCCGTATTATACCCACAATGCTTATGTTTTATACTTTTCTAAAACTGTTAGCCCTTAATTCTACTAGGGTTAATTTTTGCCTCGTTACAAGATACACACCAGTATATTCCGTGTCAGGTTTGTTGATGAGATGCATGAGGAAGAACATGTAGTTTGCTAAATTATGTTCTCTTTGGACGTGAGTATCGAACCCGTGCGGTACCTGGAAATAATAACAGTGTTATTGAATGACTAATCGACCCCAAATGAATAGGAGTAGAACATCTAGATTTATAGGTCAATTATTCAGTCTGGCCTATACGTGTCTAATGAATAGCCCAAAGAATTCGGCTAATTTAAGGCAATTAGGTACTTTATTTCAACGCTTAAATTAACTGTCTTAGAACCCGCGACGAAATTAATCAGAAGAAAATTGGAGGAGTTGGAAATATAACAAATACTATGAACTACAAGTCAGTATTTGGACTAATGCTTACTTTATCAAAATAGTCTTTATTAATGCCACATATGAAGCAGTTGGACTCCATGTCTTCCTTGACCGACTCCAGCTGGTCACGGAGCTCTCCAAAAGCGTCGATAATCAAACCTGAGGAGACAACATTTAATGATTATAAGAAAATGTGGAGATCTGCTACCAAAGGTGGACCTTGTACCTTGGAGTAGCCTTATCCGAAGTGAGTTCTGTGACCTTTTTTTTTTAAATGTAGAACGTAAAAGTAAAAAATAAATAGTGGCACTCCGGGAGTGCCGACAGAAGTAAAAACTTGTTTTTTTTTTATTTTATTAAAACAGTTTTTGTTTTGTTTTTTTTTCGATTCGAAAAGTTCCGACATGAATATATATATAGTAAATCTATGTTGTACGTATAAACACAATATATTTTTATATTATCAATGTATTTCAACCCAAACTCAACCCTCGTTGTAACCGGGGCCAATATATTATTATGTAGATACTTATATACAGAGGTGTACACCTGATGGAAAGTGATCATCGCCGCCCATGAACGTCTGCAACTCAGGAGAATCGATAATAATTATCAAAATAGGCATATTACTTAACCCTTCTTTTTCATACTAATAACAGTTTAGTTTTTATTGGGTTATACATTTCTATCGACCTTCAAAATTCAGATGTCAGAGTTAGAATGTAACTCACGTTCTACTAGAGTTACTTATAATAATTTATTTCGGACTAAAGTCTATGTGTTGATATTATATAATTTTTACAAACTAGTGTTTTATAATATGGTTCATTATTTGGTATTTAATGTTTCCAGCTACAGGCTATGAAGTCGCAGCTAATGTCGTGGGACATGTGTATAATGTCGTTAAACGTCAAAGTGAGTGTAGTTACCCTGCAGGATGGCGAGCAGGATGACGATGATGAAGAAGAAGAAGGAGATGTCGAAGATGATGCGGTACACCTCGGAGTCGTCCCCGTCGGGCGGCTCCAGCTCGTCGCCGATGCCGCCGCCCGCGCGCACGCCCTTGTACAGGTTGAACACGAAGCACTGCGCGACAAACGACTCTGTTAGCTGGCGGTAAGGTCTACACTCGATCGATGGAATATGGCCGATCGTACTCCACACTAGGCAAACCCCGTATCATAGTAACCAGACTGCTGATATACGTACTTATATATATATATATATATATATATATATATATATATATATATATATATATATATCTAAATACATACATATTACACATCAATTACACAGAACAAATAATCGTACTCACACATCAACATCCTTTAATAGTCCACTGCTGGATATAGGCCTCTCTTTAGAATGGAGGTTTTGGCCTACTATACCACGCTATAATATACGCTGATCGTACTCATCACACATTATTTGTCCTGGGTGGGAATCGAACCCACGACCTCCGGATTAGCAGAGTAATATAAACATACACCACAGGCGAACAGGCCTTGCTGTCGCAAAACGGTAATCGAGGAATTTACTATTTATTACTCTAATAACATTTCAGGTTACCTTATTGAGAATGCTCACGAGATCAAATATTATAAACCTCATATCCTATTTTTAACCCTTCCCATTACCTCTGTGAATAAAACAGCGGACTAAAAATAGGTCAGAGAAGGGCTTTTAAGGTTTCTTATCAAAAGTTTTCTTCAAAAATAAAAGTGAACAGTATCCCACCGTTAACATGTCGTGGCAGTTCCTGTTGACTTCATCATCTTCCTCCTGCACGTAGAACTTGCGGAAGAAGTTGAACGCGATGACCGTGTAGATGTATACTATGATGGTGAGCAACATCACCGTCAGTACCAGCTGTAAAGGGAACGTTACCACTTTAATCAATAGCACCAAGTATAGAAAAGTAACTCTGTACAATTTATCATTTAAAACTTCTTGAATGACACTTTACCGAACATTTTGCGAAGTGTTACCCGGCGACCTTAGCAATGACGAGGCCTCGGGTAGGTACATTATTGCGAGGCCCTTGTCTTTGTGGAATTAGTTTTAATGATGATACTTAGAACAAAAAAATACAACCCAACACATACTGCTGCTCGAACATCAAAGCATAAGTCGACGATAGTTGACACTGAAAGCCTGTCAAAATGATAGGCGAAATGAAACATGGAAAATCCCCGAATGAAAATCGAGCGCCCCGTCCGAGTCCATATGGTGACGGATTAAGAATACAGAGTGTCACCACCCCTATTCATCCCGTGAGAGCAAACGAGTGTGAGCAAAGAAACTAAGGGTGCAAACTACACAGGACAACAGCACTGCAAAGAGAAGGAAAACTTGAAACAAATCCTATACCAACCCGTTTGGAATAGTAGGCCTAAGCCTCCTTTCTAAGGAGAGGTCTAAGTCCAGCAGTGGACTACTAAAAGGTGTTGATGATGATTATGATGATGAAATCGAGACCGAGTAGCGTGACGTTAGTTTTATAATACGAGGCACTTTTCCATTTGGGTTGTTCCGTTAGTGCGCGAGGCCTCTGCACGAGCGAGGCCTTGGGCGGTTTTTTATATTAAAATGCTATAGGTATCTTTTTTTTAAAGACTACTGCCGCAATAGAAATGTATCCTGCGTCACGGGGGACTTTACAAATACACAAATACAAATTGATACGGACACAAAGAGCTAGGATACAAACTGACAGTTCAATACCGTATTTTTTAGAAACTAATTTTTAATTATTGTTGTATATTACCTGCTTGCCATTATGTGTGACGGACTGCAGAATGGTCCTCAGCGTCTTGAATCCGACGGCCACGTCAAGCAGATGGGCGGCAAAGAAGAAGTTGTTGAAGTTGCCCATCACGGAGAATGAGAAGTACCACAGGGAGTAGAGGAAGGAGTTGTCTGTGATTGTTACTCCCGCCTTCCACACTTGGTAACGCCAGTCGATGTTGATAATACTGTAGTGAAAACATTTTTTAATAACCTCACACATGACTATCCATTTCCTTCAATATATTTAGTCCTCTTTTCCACCCCTCTTTAACAGAAACCAGCAAAACCCTTCGCAAATTATACTATATACTATAATATTATAAATGCGAAAGGGTAAAGGTCTGTCTGTTTCATACCTCCTCACGTTTAAACCACTGAACCGATTTGGATGAAATTTTGTATAGAGATAGTTTGAGTCCTTGGATAGGACATAGGATAGTTTTATCCCAGAAATCATCCTTTAAGGGGGTGAAATAGGGAGTGGAAGTTGGTATGGATGGCGGAGTTCCGGGAAAAGCTGGTATGTATTAAATCCAATTGCGACGACCTCAAATTGCACGGAAATAAGGACAGGAAGATGATGATTATAAGCATAAGTGGAGTAGTCTAAAATAACTATGATATACTAACTAGTGGATCAATCCCTTGCTACCCTCTTCTTCTTGTGCAGAGAAGGAAGTCTTCTCCATTCCAAGCATATTGGAGATTGAGTCGAAGTCGTAAGTCTCTGAGAACTTGGCTCGAACTTTCTTCTTCACGAACTTGTCCCAATAGTTCACCGGAAATGATCTGGAATATAACAATATTAAGATGTAATAGGTAAAATAATTAACTTATTTAGTTCCAACTTCAATAGGGACTGAAGTTTGTCGATGCCCGAACATGATGGGATTGAGTAAACTAAATAAATGATGTAGAATACTTCTCGAGTCGTTCGATTTCCGACCATTTCTGAGGTTTAAATGCACTACTAATGCAATAAATTGTTGTACTTCTTGTTTCTTAAGCAATTAATTAAAATTAAATTAGAATTAAAAATTGTTTCATGCAACAAAATCTCCAATGCTTTAAAATTCTAATGACATTAAAATATTGCGGAAAAAAACTATTTGTATAACGAAACTCGCATAAATACATAAACTCTGAAACATTACCATGCTTTTTTTGGGTAGTTGTATTACAAAGAGACTAGGTGCATAACACCTCGCAAGCCCCGCCATCTTTGGATTTTATTCTAAACCACGTGAATTACTCGACTTGTCTCCAATAGATGGCGCTAAGTATGATGAGCGTCGATATGCGATTTAGTTTCCTAACCCAGCAAATGTAATTTTCTGTTCGTGGTGTCAGAAGACACCACGAACAGAAAACGTTAAAAGTCAATACAAATGTGATACTGACTTGGCAGATATAACGAGCTTGTCCCAGTGACTCTTGAGGTCGTCGTCTTCAGGCTGTTCCGCGATGTACAGACCGTCGAACTCCAGCTTACGTGCTATCTCCTTCTCGCGCTTGAAGATGGCCAGGGGCACCTGAAGTTACGATATATGTTTGTATTATGAAAATGTTGTAATAAATCCAGAATTTAAGTATTTTATGACTACATGTGAAAGATATTTCGCGTGCAAATCGAAGGTGATAATAACTACAAGGTATAAATTATAAATTTTATCCGAAGTTTTGATAGAATTGCGCTGGTGTCAGATGGACCTCACTGATATACTAGAAAACTAGAATAGCACTGGTGTGATGAAAATGTAAAGGTACATTGATATTTACTGTCAAATCAATATTCTCTATTCTCACTTGTAGGTACATAGGACATTTATGTTTCACAATTATCTACATTATGATATAGAAATAATTCGCCAACGAATACATTATCCCAATTGCTCCAGGATATAACACGTTATTCTTTTTACGCACCATTCATTTTCACAAACTTTTCCTTTACGATAAAAACCGCCAAGCCACTCTTGACGTAAAGTGGTTAGTACTTACTTTAAGATGGTAGTATCCTATGAGTATGGCCAATGAGACGATGGAGTGCATCATGGCGGCCACTTTGATTATGTGCTCCATGTAGAAGAAGTCCTCGTCTATATGCACCACTTCTAACGCATCTTCCTCTTCTCCCGACTCGCCGCTACCTCCTACGAAGGAAAAAAAACTAGTAGTGTAATCACTAAGATGTCGAACTTCCGATAATGTAGTTACAGGTTTGAAGCCCATGACGTGCACTGGCACTTCCGACGGGAATCCATTAGTGTATATGTATGTGTATGTGAAGGATACATTTTAGATCATAGATTGTAGTAGGTATACTAAGTTTAATCGAATTCGAATTCTGTATCTTCATAAGATTTGGACGAGAGCCATTTGGTATTTTTTTTATTAACTCCTCAAGATTTATGGATCCCTCAATGAACCGCTTGTCTGGAAAATATCAGCACCCTGTACATGTAAAAGATTGTAGCCAAATATTACTACTCTACTGTACTAATAAAATGTGTCAAACAAAGACGCATAAAATGCAAAAAAACAAAGACAATTAAAGGGTTGTCAAATCTGATAAAAATATTAATATAAATCCTACCGTCGCCACTTCCAGACCCCTGGCCCGATCCAGACCCAGCAATGATGTCGCCAATTCCTGAACCTTCGCCAACTTCAGCGTCCAATGTAGATACCTGATAACATTACCAAATAATATTTAATACATTCTACTTTAACCATGAAACGGAAACAATACCATAAGAAAATCTGCCAATATATAATGAATATACCGTAACTTAAGTTTTTAAACCATTATTTTTCAATAGTTTTAAATTTTTACCTAACCCTATATATTCTATTTTTTTAATACGTCCGAGAAATTAGGGAGTGTTATATTCTGAGAAGAGCCTATACATAAATTTAAATATATATTCTTACCTTATAGAATAACAGTACAAAGTTGATGCAGAAAGCCAACACGAGCGCGACATACTTCAGATTGTAGAAGTTACGCGCTAAGAAAGAGACTGCCCGGCGTGTGTACTGAGACAAGTCCACTTGCTGCAACGCCGATGGAGACGGGCCCTGCACAGCTTGCTGGAACGTGGAGAAGGTAACATCCTAGTGTTTATTGTGTACGTATAAAGTTTAGATTTTTTCTGGGATTATGACTGACCGACAAAATTGATTAGGCTTATTGGGTTATTTGAAAGTATCGATTCCGGGCTTAAATTTTAATGAACCTTAAATTTTATTTTTATAAGTTCACTGTGTGGTAAAAGTGTCACATCATAGGCATGACTAAACATGTCTAGATAACAGATAGTGGGTAGTGTTTTTATATCGTCTCTCGTTCTATTGAGCTATCGTTCAATCGACATTCGACTCATCAACAACCGACTGTCGATAGTTCAACCGATCGTCGTCGATTAATATACTGACGCTCGTCTATCAGTCCATAACTATTAATTGATGATGATGGTGACACACACGTAGATGCAACAGCCTGCTGTTCTCTCTGTATAGATCATATTTTATATATATGTCGGCGTCGAATAACAAAGTTATTCAAGATTACCCGCACATTTTTGAGTAACATCATCGTACCACTCCCCGAGTCAGGCGAGGTGGGGACGGACCGACCGCCGCCAATAAAAAGGAGCACGCAGTGCAGACAGACACAGTTTCATCGAGGCGCTCGCTCCGTCGACACCTAAATTGTGACACGGTTCACACCTGAGTCGTAATAAGTGTTTATTTAGATCTTGTTGTAAATTATTATTTGCTGTGTATTATTTGAATATAAATTATAATTATTTTATTCAATTATTTTATTTTATTGATTTGCAACTTAAATAGTGCTAATTATTAAAAGTGAAATTAATCAATCAACCAAAGTCGGAAATGACTGAAGAAGGGTCGAAAACTGGCGTAGAACCTCAGGATTATCGTCCACCGTCACCGGTGTTACAACAGACGATAATTCCCTCCGACATCAGAAGTGGGATCAACAATGGGGCCTCTTCAGCTCCATTTGCACGCACTCAAGAAGGTGGCAATAACTATGACGCTAACCAGACACTCTCTGCGTTGGCTAGTATCATAGAAACCCTGACCCGGCAGCAGCAAGCAAGTATGCAGGCTAATCACGAGATTTTCACAGATTTACTAAACCGGGCTGTGGCTCCAACAAAACGACCAAAACTTAGCGATATCTATATCGCGCCGTTTGATCCTAACGGTGATGTACCAGTACGAGATTGGTGTGAGCACGTGGACAGGGCAAAAACCCATTGGCAACTGACTGATTACGAAGTCTGTACAAAAATAGCTGGCTTATTACAAGGTCGGGCCAAAAGTCTTGGAGATACATGGTTAGTAAAATCACCTGTTTGGTCCGACATGCGAGAAGCGTTAATACAGACCTTTGAGCCCGAAGCACGATATTCAAACGACATAGTGAAGTTGCGGTGTTTTAAATTTGACATGTCAAACCCAGCTGAATCAATCACTAGGGCTTGGAATATCTGGAAGCGAATCATTAATGGTGACAAGGATAAAGACGCTGTAGAAGCTGTAATTGGCTGCATAGACAATGAGTTTCTTCGGTTACGTCTATTATCTAGTAAATGTTCTTCGGTACCTGAACTAATTTCTGTAGCAGCTACACTCAGACAGCGAGAACCTCGACAAGGTGAACCACCTGCTAAGCGACCAAGACTGAAAAACAATAGAGATGACAATACGCTTTGTTTTAAATGTGGCAAACCTGGACATGTGCAAGCACATTGCGATAAGGGTAACGAAAAGATGACTGACCCTAAGCCATTGCTTAGTACAAGTAACATAGACAAATCATTGAACCGAACAGAACGCTCTAAGCCCAAATGTAGCTACTGTGATAAAACTGGTCATTATGAATCCAACTGTTTCAAGAAAATGAGCGATGAAGCCGAAAAAATTAATGTAGCTGGAGAACAAGAAAAAATACTAACACCGATGATCATTAAAATTAATAATCACCGATACACCACATTGTATGATAGTGGTGCTGCACGCTCTTTAATGAGGCGTTCGATCAGTCAGTCTATACCCGGAAAACGTGAAGATTGTAATTTGATGCTGAAGGGTATTGGTAGTGAAAGTATGCCACTCTTATCCTGCCAAAGAATTAACGTTATGTGTGACATAGATGGCATTTTCCTAGAAATTGCATTCCACATTGTAGAAGACCACGAAATACCTTGTGGGCTTTTGATAGGAGCAGAAATAGTGAGAGGTACAGACCTCTCTATCCTCATTACTGAAAGAGGAGCCACCATGATAAGACAGTCGAGTATCTCCAACGTCAGTACAACCGAAGATCCCTTAGCAAACTTGGACACTGATTTGACCCATGCGGAGGAAATATGTGAGTTGAAAAAAGTATTACTGAAATATAGTGAGATATTTTCTACTGGTATTCCTAAAAAACAAGTCACAACAGGCAATTTGGAGATTCAGCTGAAAGACCCAGCTAAAGTAGTATCTAGAAGACCATACCGAATGGCTCCAGTCGAGCGTCTAAAATTAAGAAATATCATTAATGAATTGATTACTAATGGAATTGTCCGAGAAAGTGTGTCAAATTACGCCAGTCCAGTGATTCTTGTCAAAAAGAAAAACGGAAAAGATCGAATGTGTACCGATTATCGAGAATTGAATAAAAATACTATCCCTATTAAGTTCCCGCTTCCGATCATTTCGGATCAGATCGATCGACTATCAGATGCTAACTACTTCATCATTTTAGACATGGCGCAGGGTTTCTACCAAATACCAGTCAAAGAAGAATCTGTGCCAAAAACCGCCTTTATTACGCCAGATGGACTATATGAATACGTGAGAATGCCGTTTGGTCTGATGAACGCACCAGCTGTGTTTCAGCGTGCTATAACGACTGCATTACGGCCCTTATTGGATAACATCTTGGTCTACATGGACGATGTCTTGATAAAATGCAAAACCTTCACAGAAGGATTGCAGACCTTGGACAAAGTTTTAGCAGCATTAGCCGATGCTGGGTTTACTGTGAACGCGGAGAAGTGCTCATTTTTTAAGATATCGATTGAATATCTTGGCAATTTGATCTCCAAAGGTACAGTTCGTCCGAGTCCAAGGAAGGTAGATGCCTTAGAAAAAACACCAGTACCTACAAACGTGAAACAGGTACGTCAATTTTGTGGTTTAGCTGGTTACTTTAGACGTTTTATACCTTCGTTCTCTGAACGATTGATTCCACTGTACAACCTAACTAAAAAGGACGCAAAATTTCAATGGACCGCTGAATGCGAAAGTGTCAGACTCGATATAATTCGTCGATTAACTTCGGCGCCAGTTCTAATAATTTTTCAAGAAGGACTTCCCATCGAACTACACACGGACGCAAGTAGCGCTGGATTGGGAGCCGTCCTCATGCAAATACAGGACAGCCGACAGCATGTGATTGCCTACATGAGTATGAGAACCACCGAACCAGAGAGCCATTACCACTCTTATGAGTTGGAAACTCTTGCCATAGTAAGAGCAATAAAACACTTCCGGCAGTACCTCTACGGTAGATCTTTTAAAATTGTTACTGATTGCAATGCTATAAAGTCGTCATCAAGTAAACATGAACTCTTACCGAGAATTCATAGATGGTGGTCGTTTCTTCAGCATTACGATTTTAAAATAGAATACCGCCAAGGATGTCGAATGAAACATGCAGATTTTTTTAGCCGTAATCCTGTAGCATGCATTAATCTGGCTCAAAACATCGATGCATGGTTAAGGGTTGAGCAACGGCGTGATGAAGAGTTGGCTCGAATTATAAATAAGTTAGAACACAAGGAGGAAATGAGTGAGTACCGCATGAATAATCTTGTTTTGGAGCGCTATCACGATGAAGAAGAACCTGGATGCAAAAAATGGAAAAAGATTGTCCCAAAATCATACCAATGGAGTATTATTAATGCTTATCATACCGCTCTAAAACATTTTGGATGGGAAAAGACTCTTAGTAAAATTCGAGAATGCTTCTGGTTTCCCGAAATGTCAACAACAATAAGACGATTTATAGACAACTGCGTCATATGCAAAACCAGTAAAGGTCCTTCTGGAGCTAAGCAGGTAGAAATGTATCCTATAGAGAAGAAATCTGTTCCTTTTGACACTATACACATAGATATGACTGGACATCTCACCAGAAGGAACAACAAACATGAATACGTTGTGGTTATTATTGACGCCTATACTAAGTTTGTCACCTTGACCTATGCGAGTAATAAGACTGCCAATTCAATGCTGCGGCCACTCAAGCATATTGTATCTCTGTTTGGAGCTCCAAGACAAATCATAAGTGATCAAGACACTGCCTTTAAAGCTGAATTTGAAGATTTTTGTAAAAATCATAACATTTACCAGCATTTCATAGCTCCAGGATGTAGTCGAGCCAATGGACAGGTGGAACGTATGATGGCCGTTGTAAAAAATGGATTAACTGTAATTCGTAATTACGAAACTCAAGACTGGAAGAAGGGTCTGGAAGCACTTCAGTTGGCAATGAACTGTACCAAGAATAAGACAACGAATGTAAGTCCAATCAAAGCTCTCACCGGAAGACAATGTGCTGTACCACCAGATTTAATATCCTTGATCGACGAAGAAGGGACAGTAAGTCGAGATCAACTAGACAGCTACATACAAAAGAAAATTGACATACGAGGAAAAGAAGACAAGGCAAGATTTGATCAGGGTAGAGCCAAAGTCAAAAGATTCCAAAAGGAAGACATCGTCTTATTCAAGGCTAACCCTAGGTCCCAAATTGGACTTGACCTGAAATACCCAGATGCTTATGTAATTTGGAAAATACTACCAAACGATCGCTATCAAGTGAAGAAGATAACGGGACGTGGACGCCCGAAAAAAGTAGCTCATGACCAACTTCGGATTGCACCCAAACCAAACGAATGCATAACTCAGGACGACATGTCGGCGCAAGATGCTCCTAACGTGACATCAGCAACAAATGAAGTCTAGTGTGGCACTTCCGATCCAGTTGAAGTTTAGGGAGAACTTATGCAGAAATAAGGGTAATCAAAACCATTTCAATATTTTTCCGTTTATGCATGTTGCCTTCGTGAGCTCCTTACTGCTGCAGCGAAAGACGTAAGTTGAGGACAGGGGCCTCCTTACTCTTTCAATAAAATGTTGTCTTCGTGAGCTCCTTACTGCTGTAGTGAAAGATGTAAGTCGAGGACAGGGGCCTCCTTACTCTTTCAATAAAATGTTGTCTTCGTAAGCTCCTTACTGCTGTAGTGAAAGATGTAAGTCGAGGACAGGGGCCTCCTTACTCTTTCAATAAAATGTTGTCTTCGTAAGCTCCTTACTGCTGTAGTGAAAGATGTAAGTCGAGGACAGGGGCCTCCTTACTCTTTCAATAAAATGTTGTCTTCGTGAGCTCCTTACTGCTGTAGTGAAAGACGTAAGTCGAGGACAGGGCCCTCCTTACTCTTTCAATAAAATGTTGTCTTCGTGAGCTCCTTACTGCTGTAGTGAAAGGTGTAAGTAGAGGACAGGGGCCTCCTTACTTTCGCAATAGTTTATGTACATTGAGGTCAGAGGTAAAGAGAATTCTCTTTGCATGTCTATACTCGCGTCTAGAATCTGAGTAATATTACATTATACGGCGCATTAACTTTTTCTTGTAGGTCGGAGGCGACCTTTCTGCAGAATGGCCGTGTCGGCGTCGAATAACAAAGTTATTCAAGATTACCCGCACATTTTTGAGTAACATCATCGTACCACTCCCCGAGTCAGGCGAGGTGGGGACGGACCGACCGCCGCCAATAAAAAGGAGCACGCAGTGCAGACAGACACAGTTTCATCGAGGCGCTCGCTCCGTCGACACCTAAATTGTGACACGGTTCACACCTGAGTCGTAATAAGTGTTTATTTAGATCTTGTTGTAAATTATTATTTGCTGTGTATTATTTGAATATAAATTATAATTATTTTATTCAATTATTTTATTTTATTGATTTGTAACTTAAATAGTGCTAATTATTAAAAGTGAAATTAATCAATCAACCAAAGTCGGAAATGACTGAAGAAGGGTCGAAAACTGGCGTAGAACCTCAGGATTATCGTCCACCGTCACCGGTGTTACAACAGACGATAATTCCCTCCGACATATATTATTTATACTACAAAACAGTAATTTCCTTAGAGAGAGTGAGAGTTATGTTTTACACATAGTGAAAAAATACAGAAACAATTATTAAAAAAATACATGTAAAAATACAAAAGTTTTAGTTTTTTAATAGCAGAGGGAGAACAAAATAATTTACTCTTTTAAAATATTGTGAAATTTATCGACATTGTGATAAAAGCTATAAACTTAAATGGTGGATGATTAAATGCAGTAACATACACAACCTTTACCTTTTTCTTCAAACATTCTTTTTTGCGTCCAAGCTGCGTAAAGTAGCAAAAATGATAGCTTATATTAATGACGGTACGTGATACAAAGTCGGCTGAAGCATGATGTATAATACTCTTACATATTTAAGGCATATGCACATATAGTGATAAGCTTTCTGAACCAAAAATATTCGAGCCCAACCGGGGCCTTTCATGAAGTAAGGCCACCTGTCGCATTTAGGTATAACCACAAAACTAACAAATATGAAAACCGCTCATAGATGTTCTTTTAATGGATGGATGAGGGCCTCTGTTGAGTCCAAAACTAATGGAACATCCCCGAAATATACACATAACCCATTTAAAAAAGAAAAAGTTTTGATTCTTTGTTACTACTTACGTCAAAACAGCCAATATATGGTGAATATTACCTTTTTACTCTCAGCTTCTATGGCCGTCATGGCAGCCTGTTGTACGGCCTGTGCTTCCATCCTCTCTTGAGCTTGCTTCTTTGCTTGTTCTCCACTAGAAATTCAATTATTTTAGCATCGATAGAAATGTGTATAGAATTTGCAGTGCGTTTAAGAACAACGAACACGTGATCACATTGATAGAACAAACTTAAAACTCCAAAAATGGATGAGGTTTTTGCCCATGACATCTATTGTAAGCTATTTTTTCTTTTTCGTGAAAACTCTTAAGAGTGATACCCCACCGAGAATAACCTCCTTTTATTGTGTATTCTCAACTTGAAGATAGCAGGCTGGTGCGTAAAATACAATGACATTAAATTTAATTGCCTAGAATTTCGACGACCTAGGAAGTCTCAAGAATAGCTTAGCTTTGTAAAACTAAACCATTTAACAGTCAACTTAATTTTAACCTCTGTCATATTTTTTTACTAGAAAATCAAATCCCTAAAAGTAAATTTTAAAAACAGCAACGTATGACGTCACAAGTTATTATTCACTCTCACAAGTATTGACCTACTACCTACTACTTTGACGTTAAAAACATAATACATTCTGTGTACTAAGTATCGGGAATTTGTCAATAAAACAAAAAATACAAATTATTCATCTAAATTTATTTTATCGCCTTCAAAGCGATGGGGCCTACCCCCATCGCTTGAAATACAACATCTCCACCGCTTCACCCAGTCTTCCATACATTTTTCATAGGTTATTTGCGGTATGGCCTTTAGCTCATTCAGCGAATTTTCTTTTATGGCTTCTATCGACACAAAACGTTTTCCTCGAAGTGGTAATTTTAACTTGGGAAATAAAAAAAAGTCAGACGGAGCCATATCAGGTGAATACGGTGCTTGGCTGTGTGTGATGTTGCATTATCATGGTGCAGCATCCATGAGTTGTGTTGCCACAAATTTGGACGTTTTCGGCGGATACTCTCACGCAAACGGTTCATGACGCCTAAATAATATTCTTTATTCACTGTTTCTCCCTCTGGAAGGAATTCGGAGTGAACCACACCACGGTAGTCAAAAAAAACTGTCAGCATCACCTTGATTTTGGAGCGACTTTGCCGCGGTTTTTTTGGTTTCGGCTCGTTTTCGAGACGACTTTCTGAAGACTGTTGGCTTGTTTGCATGTCGTACTCATAAACCTATGTCTCGTCGCCAGTTATTATACGTTTCATAAAGGTCGGATCCAATCCAATCCAAAAGGTCGGGTCTGAAACCATGTCTTCAGCGACATGCTTTCGCTGCGCTTTTTGAACAAAATTAAGCTCTTTTGGAACTAGTCGAGCGGCGACGCGTTTCATGCCTAAATTGTCAATGAGAATGTTGTGGACGGACTTAAAAGATATGTTCACCTCACTAGCCAACTCTCTCAGACTCATACGTCGATTTTCGAGCACTAGCTTCTTGATTCTGTCGATGTTTTCTTTGGTCGTAGCGGTTGAAGGTCTACCAGAACGAGGCAAGTCTACTACTACTTCTCGGCCTTTTAAAAAATTTAAGGCACACTTTTTGTTCAACAATATTTTCCATTGTAAAAATCGCCGAGGACTCAAAACTATCACCAACAAAAAGTGTAGTTTAAAACAAATTAAATGACAGATCCCGATCAAATTTTGCGCGCTTAATCAGTACAGTGCTACCAACATGCAGTAAAAAAATTAGAACGACCTCTTTTACGCGGGTCTTTTTATTGACATATTCCCGATACTTTTTACACAGAGTTGTATAAACAGCTTTGATACAGTTGAGTGAGTATCTAACTCACTCAACTGTTTTATGTCAGTTATACAGGTGTAAGTAGGTACTTATTATAGATGAAACGTAACATAAATTCAATCTTTACCCGGGATATTATATACAATATGTACCGTTGTGTTTTCGTGATAATAACAGTGCCACACAGTTTTATAAACTATATACTAGAAAACATCATATTAAAAACAATTCAATGGTACTTATAAAAAAAATTGGTTGCCTGTAAAGTCGGTATACGGGCGAAAGTTTTACGTGACAACGACTTTGAGTGGTAAAATAATTTTAATGTGAATATTCATTCGTATAGTAGGAAGAATGATGAAATAATAGTAACAATTTAAAACAATAAAATAAAATGTGTATGCCTATCTCTCTCACTCTCTCTCTCTCGCTCTGTCTCTCTCGCTCTTAGGCGGGCTAACTGTGCTCGAGTGGAAGGGACGCGTGCCTTTCACTTTTTATGTCTGTCTCTCTCGCTCTTAGGCGGGCTAACCATGCATGAGTGGAAGGGACGCGTGCCTCTCACTCGCTCTCATTGTGAGCGCATAACGTGAGCGGAACGTAACGCAGTTTCTTGAAGTGTCACCCGGCAAACCAATTTATAAGACGTTGTCACGTCAAAATTTGAAGTTTTTAAATTAATAACAAAGTAACGTAGAATCAAATGTGATGAACTGTTGTTAGACCAAATATTCCACATACTCAACAATAACAACAAAGATGTATTCAAAGAGTGGTGACTAACGCAACAGTCGGTGGACACAACAAATATATGAAATGTCAATAATAAAGATACGTACCCGTAATTCCTAAAACAAAAATATATTTTTTTTAAATATTTTTATCTTGTTACTGCTTTAACATAAGAAAGTTCAAACATTTTTGATGAACTACGTTAAGAAAAAAGTTAGTTCCTCACTAAATAATGTCGCAACACGTATTACCAATAGGTTATCAAGTTGGTTTATAGTGGAAAAACATTTTTTTTGTACCTATAGTAACGTTTAGTAACGTAATAATATATTGGTACTAATTCTGTTGTTCGAAAACTCTCTAAACTAAACTAAAAATCACAAAAAATTAGTTTAGTCCTGTCAAGTACTACTTTTTCAGAATACGAAACGTTGGTTGACAAGACTTAACAAATTTTTAGAACAACAGAATTAGCACAATTATTTCATTAGACTATACTATATTGAGATGATAAATAAACACACCCTAAGAGATCAATTAGAGATGGTGGTCGTTGCTCCTCAGAATGGTCAGCACCTTCATCTGGTGACACTTCAGCTTCCTCGCAGGAAGATGGCGTTGATGTGCTCGGAGATTCGTGTGGTTTTACCTGTATCCTAGAAACACAAGAATTCCTTTCAAAATTACATCACAGTCACTGTACAGTCAATTTAGAACTATTGGAAAGACCCATAACCAAAATTGAAACAGTTATTGAAGACGTAAGGTTATTTCTACGAGTAGCTACATTCTATATTGAGAGGAAGCGTGACAAATTATAAGCTTGATTAAGGTTTATGATACCTACCTCAACTGAAGTATTAAATATTGTATTTTAAGAGTAATCTGTAGTTAACGGTGTTGGTAATAAAGATAACAACTTGTGTAAATTGTGTATTTATTTATAAAGTTGCTATAATTACTGTTTGTTAACTCAAGAAAAAAAAGGACCTTTTATTAAGGAGCAGGGTGACATGTCACTTCGTTATCAGACGTCGCAATAGGCTAATTACTCACACACGAATGCAATTCAATATCATTAATAACCATGAATCAATCACGGCAGTTAATATTAAAAAGAACGGGATAAAATACGTACTGTCCATTGTCTTCTTTGGTGATGTCTAGTCCGAAAGCAGAGACTTGTATCTGTCCGGTGTCATCAGCAGGTGGTAATGCAGGCAAGTGTCGAGAACCTGCATTAAAAAAAATATATTTCTGTTACCGCCAAAGCAGTAACTTTTGCGGAAACCGAATTCTTTGTATATTCGATACTTTACATTTTAGAAAGACGTAGAATAATAAAGGGAATTATAAATTTTACTAATTTTATATTTATATTTTATAATGTATACTAATTTTATACACTTTTAAAGTAAGTAGAAAGGTAGATAAATGCAATCATAAAGATCTAAGAAGACTTATGAGATACAAAGAGGCTAATTCTAGATGAATATGCACATGAATAGCGCTGTGCGACCTGAATTGTGTTTTAAAACATCAGAGCGAGAGTCATTATTTAATTAAATGCTTTTGTTCAGTGGAGCTTCTGCATACTATTGTATTCCGCTGTTATTGTATTAGTTAACATTTGCACAACGCAACACTGAATTAATAACATTTAAAGCAACAACATAGAGATATTGTATAAATTAAATAGCCCACACTTCCCCGACTTGTTGTTACAAATTTCCGTCCCTTTTCACGAAATTTCAATTTCAAAATTCAGACTGTAGGAAAGCGAGAAGAAAGATGTTACATCACAAAAAAGTTACACTTAATGATATAAAAAGAAGAAACAATGAATTTGAAACAATTTTTTCCATGGTTTTAATCAATCATTCCCATAGTCATAGACCATATCAAACTGTAACAAAGTCCATCACCCGGGCATAACCCGGGTTGACAGATTAATTATGTATATCATACGCGAAATCGAAGTGCGTATTTTAGACATAGGTAAAAATACAGTTTTTATTTATACATAGACAGATATTTTTAATCGTTTTTTTTAAATTTATAACAGAAAATATATTTTTAGTGTCAAATGGATGGCAAGACGTACTGCTTGCCTGAGATAGTAAGCTGTTACCGCTGTTAAAAAGAGGTGTTTACCTCTGCTGACAAGATTCGCCTTTATATCCCTACTTGTATATTTTATATTTGAGTGCATATAATATATGTATATTATTATTGTGTTAACTTACCGTCACTGTTATCCAAAAGCAGATTTTTCACAACATATATTATGATAGTAATAAAATAATATCAATAAATACACATAAATAAATAAACTTTTTTAAACATCAATTGTTACATTTACGTACAGTATACTTTACAATGTTAAACCTGCGTTTGGCAATTAAGTGTTTTATTGTCCTTGGTGCGTTTGGTCACTGAGCGTTTCGAAAGAGAATTATAATGCAGTAGGTTTAAAAATGTAAATATTTATTTCGTTGACTACGGATGATGAACTTTTTTTAACAACTGCACATAATAATAATAATCTATATGAACCACATTTTACAAAATTGTTAAAAAACACGTGTCAATAGAACGATCTCGTTGTTGCGAAACTCTCAGTTAAACCAAGAAACAGTCAAATTTAGTTTAGTCCCGCCAAATAACGGAAGACTAAACTTATTTTAGTGTGACTGAACTAAAACTGGGTAAGATACTAAACTCAGTCCATATGATCTCATTTCTGTTCTATTACACGTTCTAAATATTTAAAATTTAATATTTGAAGATTCTCATGATTCCCATGAGAATCTTCAAATATTAACAGAAAATAAAATAATTCCGCTATACTAAATAATAGTGTTTATTTCACACCAGTGACCAAACGCCGATATAGTGCGAAGCCAGCACTCTCTATACCTGTAAGTTCTTACTTGATTGGTTGGCAAGCAACCTGTGCCTCAACTGACCGATTTTCTCCTCTTCCGTAGGCTCAGGAGGTATCTCCTCCACCTGAGGACCCCGCATCAGCCCCAACAGAACACCAAATATGTACCTGCCGGATGAAGTTTAGTGAGAATTAAGATTAATTAATGTTATTTAATGTCTTTCGCAAAGGTTTATTAAACACCTAGCACGAGTTTTCATATCGTTTTAAAAGAAAAAAATATACAAAGCAATTTTAACATTTTTTTTCTAGAGTTCAACTCTAAATTACGACTTCTAAAGTTACAGTAATCCTACTGGTTCGTTCGACTTTAATAACAAAGCTTTTCAATTTTTTTTTCGTTTCTTGTTTGTTTGACCTAATTTTATCCCAGTTTTCGGTTCTTTTTAGTATTTGAATTGTATAAGCCGATCAGAAAACTATTTAAATTTTGATTATTTGGAAAACTCGTACTAAGAATAGTTGATACGCTCTAGTCTAATCAAAAACGTCGTTTAATACAAAACACCACATATCTACATGTCGGTTACATTGTAGTACAAGAAAATTAATCTAAAAGTTCTAGGAGTGTATACGTGTTGAAGTAGATAATAGGTAGAAGGTGTGCTGTTAAGGTATAACATTTAGTAAGCTACTAAATACTTTTAAAAGATTCGACATAATGGAAAAATCGTTAGTCTAATATCGTAAAATAAAGTTGTTTAGTTAAAAGTATACTCGTAGTATAGCTGACTAAGGCAGGTAACTACGCAGGTCAATAGAGAGACCCAAAGAGAAGGAAAACTTGAAACAAATCCTATACCAACTCGTCTGGCCAGCGTGGCATAGTAGGCCAAAACCTTCTTTCTAAGGAGAGTCCAGCAGTGGTCTATTGGAGGCCGTTGATAATATTGAAATTATATGAAAGAAAAGTTATTTTTATTACATCCCTTAGCATATCTAGGCCAAATCTTAAGGTTCATCTGTAGCGATTGAACCGAAATTTTGAATTAAATTTGCCTCAACCGATAGAGCTTGTTTTAAAAAGTGCGGCACAAATGATTTAGTTAGAATTCGCACAACCGAGTTTTCTGAAATTTTGTTTCAAAGATGTATTCTCAGGGTTCGCGATGCGACAGAGATAAGAAACAGAATATATTTTATTTTCTTGAAATCTCGATTTATACAAATAAATAAACTTACAAGTAATTAATCTTTAGAGACGAGAGGTACTTTGTGTTATCTCACATCACGAATCTTAAGAAGTGATTTATTTTAGTTTTATAATTATGTATCATGCACACTATATGTTAAAAAAATTAAATAGATAAATGAGAAATGTGAAAAAATTGATAATGTGCACCAAAAAGACGTAGTTAGAAGACTCAATTCTGATGCCCAACTTATTTTCCTTTTATTATATTAATTGTACATGACAAAGAGAAAGAAAAGAAAAACCGGCAATTACAAAAAAACATTGCTTTGCAGCCGAAAAATTAAATATCGCCAACCTTTTCGCTATTTTTTTTTGCTATAATTTTTAATTTTTATTTTTATAGCAAAAAGTATTTCCTTTTTTTCAGTTTTAGTTTCGGTAGTCAGTTAATAAGGAATTTTCGAGTTAGAGCATCAGAATTGGAATTGCAGACATTAATTAATGAAATTATCCATAAAAATAAAATAAAAACTTGAATTAAAATGTGTGAACTAGAACAGCCACAAACTAATAGAACGTCTTACATACATCAATAAAACATTAAGCATTTACCAATGACTGTGCATCAAACGGGGCGTGTAACAAACGATTCAATCACCATGACATTCGATAATAGATTTTAAAACTATATAGTCAAGGCCTATTATTATAAGACCGAAGTGTTAATAGAAGTTTCATTTTTCTTAAAAGCCGAAACCTAATTTCATAACAATTATGAACTGTATTCTGTACGCCTTAAGGCTTATAATGATTAAGTATTAGCTTACTAAAAAAGAGTTCAGAACATTTACCAGTTTAAAATATATGTAGTTATATACACGGACTGCTACTTTTGTCGTCGTAAGTTCCATTTCCATTTCTTTATAAAAAACCTAAAAGGTACTATAAAATAGTAGTTTTCATTATTCACAAATTAGCAATACTGTCGATCTCTTTCCAACCTCTAGATTATTGGTCTCATCTCTAGTACTAAGATCTATGTATGGTGTTTGTAAATCTGTGTCTGGTTACCGCTCGGTCATATGTAACAGGCCTTAAGTTGAGCCTTAACTTCCACTTACCTAACAACTATTAAAACTCCGTATCCGAAGTAATAGAACAGATAGAAGAACATTTTGAAGAAGCCCACAGCTAGTTCCGCGGGAGGCATTTGATGGAGGTCCGCTATTTTCTGCTTTATGTTAGAAGGAGATAAGGATGAGAATGCCGTGGAGAAGCCGTCTTTCACTGACTGGAGACCGCGGCGGAAGGGGTCTTTGCCGGCTCTGAAACAAGTTTTTAATTATTGAATCTCAATAGAATATTAATAACAAAAAAAAAAACTATTTTTGAGTAGTTTTAATTTAAGTACAAGCATCCATACAGTACCGCTACAGTAAAAGTTTTTGACAAGCGTAATTTTGTAAGGTATATTGGGTATGTGCACTTCTAGTTAAAAACTATTTTCCATATTGATACTCACAAAGTGGCTGCAACTATTGTTAAAAACAAGTTGAAACCTTTTGGTTTACTTTACGTGTTTCTGAGAGACAATCTCATACAGCATACATATAATGATACTGTAAAAATCAGAACTCTTAAAATTTATTCTTGTCGTAATCTTAAGTAGAATAATCAGCTTACCGTTCATCATCATCATCTCCCATATACATATAACTGGCTTCTCTGTTCTTGGGTCCTCCAGCTGAAGGTTCGCTGGCCGCCATGAGGCCGGACGCGTGGGTCATTTCAAAGATGGCGTCCTCACAGAAGTTTACAAACGCTTCCAACTTCTCTTTATCTCCACCTTCTGTTACGATCGAGTAGAAGAATGCGCGTTTTGATTCCTGAAGGAAAAATCATTTTAATGAGGTTATTGAAAAAGGAACCAAATACAAAAGTTATTTTAAAATTATTGTTGCTAAAACACTCATCTGCCACATAAGTTTGATTCGCCAATTAATAGACAGCTGGAGAACAGTAAAGGTATGCTTATATGTATTTAATATATTTAATATTATGATACCAACTAACTCATATCAAATTGTTTTTTTTTGTTTAATGACGTTATTTTGGTTCATGTTTCCAGTCAGTCATAATTACTACTTTTTTATCAACTTAAAGTTTAAGCTTTTAAACGTCACACAGTTAATCATTTAGATAAATCCACCTTATTGTCAAGTAAATTTTTGTACTCTATTATATTTAAATTGACTTAATTCACCGAGACTTCAATACAAACGAATTGTTTATGCAACCTCTGGTGTTTTATTTTGTAGATAAGAATAAATTTGGAAGGCTCCCCCTTATCCCATGACTGATTATTTTTCTTCAAAAAGACAACTCCGGGCATTAGGAATATATCATGTGTCGTGGGGAACTTTACAAACATACATGAAACGGACACAAAGAACACCCAGACAGCACAACAATTGATGGATCACAGAAAGTGTCGTCCCAAGTGGGGATCGGACCCACAACACTCAGCGTAATAGTAGTCGGCGTAGCGACCGCTTAAACAAGGTGTGCAGTCAACAAGGTTCAATAAGGTAATTTAAAAAAAAAGTATCTCAACTTACGTCTTACACAATACAAAAAGAAATATCTAATGTTATTTTTAAAAAAAATACGTTAAGAACGAGTATTGAAGATATTTTTTTAAATCTCTTTACTAAAAAAAAATATCTAATGTTATTTGAAAAAAAATACGTTAAGAACGACATATTGAAGATATTTTTTTTTATTCTCTAAGTTTATGATCACCTTAATTTGCGGTTTCTCCCACTGCTCGATGTTAGACTCCTTGATCTCGAAGTAAACTCGCTCGATTCTCTTGGAACCACCCATGATCTCGATACGCCCTAAGAATGGCTCGAAGTAGTTCAAAACGGAGCCTGCTGTCTCCAGGAAACGGGCTAGTCTGGGGAAAGGAGTTTTATATTTTTAATTTGTCAATGTAAAACGTGACTCGCCTCATATGTTTTTTGGTGAACGAAGATAAAGATGTTTTGTTCCTCATCATATCAGTAATTATAAATAGGTATGAATAGCCAGGTGATATCCCTGTCCTATTGATTCCCTCTTGATCCTACCCTCTTCGAGCTGATGCCCTCTCAGTCTTGCAATACCTCTTAAGCTAGTTCCCTCACCTTATCCCTTCTCCATGTCTTAACTAACTTTGTTTCCTTCTTTTATTTCTTTATGATGTCGGTTATCGGTAAAAAGTAGCCAAAGTCCTTTATCAAGAATTAAACTATCTCCATTCCCAATGTCATGTAAATTGGTTCAGCGGTTATTAATTCCCCATACAAACTTCCATCCCCCCTTTGTACTCCCTTCGATGATTCTTCGATGATTCGATCCGGTATAAAAACTATCTTAGGCCCTTTCCCGGGACTCAAACTATCTCTATACCAAATTTAATTTTAATCGGTTCATCGGTTTAAGCGTGAAGAGGTAACAGACAGACAGACACACTTTTGCATTTCTATTATTAGTATGGATAGTACAGGGAGAAAACAAGTGTATCTGCAGCACATTTACATCCTGCAACTCAGTCACAAGTGCCAGGCTGTGCCAGGCCTTTGAGATCCGAATTAGGTTTTTTGTCGAATTAAAAAACAATTGTATTCTCAAGGAGAATTGGAGTCTGACCATAAAAGAAACCATCCAAAACCTTTTGTAATGCATTGCGTTAATGTTATATAGAAATAGTAGGTTGAAAGAATCACTCTTTAAATTAATTTAAAACTATTCTGAACACAGAAAGATATTCAAAGATATCGCTAACAAACACATAAATATATATAGGTCCAATTCAGAACATTCTTTAAAGCCATTCAAAAATAATACTACTCGTAATAATATTTTCACACATCTTACACGCGGCCCGGCCGTCTGATCCCAAACTAGGCAGAAGCCTGTACTATGTAAACCAGACTGCTGATAAACATACTTATATATTTCTAAACACATACATATTATAGATAAAGTACACCCAGACACAGAACAAATGACCGTGCTCATCACACAATTATTTGTCCCGGGTGGGAATCGAACCTACGACCTCTGGCGTAGCAGTCAGGGTCACTAACCACTAGACCAAAAGGCCAGTCAAAAAATGGCTTACTATATATATTTTTTAAATAATATAGAACATTTAAATCAACTTATTACCAGGTGGTAGTTCTTCTTATCCATTACATGAGCAGTTTCGTACATACCTGGGTTCATTGGGCATGTGTTCAGACAAGTTGGTGAGGAGTACGGCCAAATTAAAACCAATTTCTTTGGCCGGCTCGTGGAAGCGGTCACAGAACCCAATATAGTCCAACTTGCCGTCGTGGTTGGTCTCGCAGCAGGCCAGGAGGAACTCTATTTCTTCTCTGTGGAACATTGTTTTTGAGGTTCAAATTATGCATTGTTTATTTTATGGCAAAAAAGAACCAACCATAGATTCCTGAGCACAGTTAATTGTACTTACTAAGAGATATTTTATTTAAACCTTCTTTCTAAGGAGAGGCTTATTTCCAGCAGTGGACTATTAAAAGCTGCTGATAATGATATTTTAATTGTAACTGAATGCATGGTATTTTCAGAAATAATTGTCCTGTGGTAATGGACTATTTTACTGTTCGTCTTACTCTGGGTGTAGACTCCGAGAGCTTTAGTCCGCATCACGTATGTAGGCAACACACAATCTTAGTTTCCATCTAATCTTATCTAAATAGCGATTAGAAATATATTAGGAAAATATTATTATATCATTTTCAAACACCCAATGCTATTAGAATACAGAAAAAAACTCACGGCGTGTAACTCTTTTGCTGTTCCATCTTCTCCTTGAAGTCCTTGGGCAGCACCCACCCGTCGTTGTTACCGTCAATCTCCTGGAAACTGGGGCTGGAGGTGAGGTCCTTTAGCTTCAGGAACATGTCGAAGTACTTGAGGATCAGTTCCACGTTCGAAGCCGATTCTACCAGAGTGTCCACCATCTGCTTACCAATTGTTCCTGAAATATTTATTTCGTTATAATTAACAATATAAAAAATCCACGTCCTATACAGTATAGGTAACTGCTCCCAGGTTTGCCACCACATTAGTGTACATGTAGAGAATAATAAAGTTTATTATAAAACAAGGTTTATAATGGTGTAAGGGCATACGAGCAGACGAGTCGCTCGATGGTAAGTGACTACCACCGCCCACAAACATCTGCAACTCAAGAGTCACATTGTCGGCCTTTGAGTGTTTCGGCCAGAATTAGGGAGAAGGGGCAAGGGGGAAGCAGGAAAGATACGTCTAAAATAGAAGTATCTTACCTGCTCGACCGAACCTTGCCTCTTACGTATACGTATCTACGTTAATTTTTTAACCGACTCCAAAGTCTCAAAAGGAGGTTCTCAATTCAGTTTGATTTTTGATTTTTACTTGTTTGTTAAAACCACTGTACTAAATTATATCTTACCGTTGACGACGTTTCCTTCAAGCATAGACAACATCATGGTAATCATGTCCTTCTGCAAGTTGAGGAGTTCCTTCAGCAAGTCCACTTGAGAGGAATGTTTGGACAACTTGTCTTGCATGTGCGAGAACAGGAACAAAAAACCTCCGACCGCGTCCCACAATCTGAAAATATGTAATTTTATATAATTTAAGTTTATAATGAACTGTTTTTTCGCCTTACAACTTTTTAATTTGAATCATACAACAAGTGTTCTAATAATCAATAGTGTACTTATTGGTTACCTTGGATGTTATTAATTTTGGGAGAATGGTTAATGATCTGAAAATAGCAGTTCAGAATCTAGTCCATATTTCACTCTCATTGTGATTTTATTTTAAAAATATAAGGATTTTGGAATTGCAACAAATATTGCCAGGCTGTCTACTACTCTGTCTACTTTAGATGTTCATTATTAAAAAAATAACTGAATTACTTCAAATTATAAGTTTTCCCAGCCAGAAAATACCCGTACTTCATTTTTTTTCCAAGTTTTTTTAAATCACTTCATTCACATTGTTAAGGCTCATTCTTCTTGTAGCTAGGTAATTAAATTCTTCTTCTAGCTTAATTAAAGAAATACTTTAACCACATTCACACATTACAAGTAAAAACAACTCTACTACGAGTAAATACTATTTTGTGCATTTGATTAGAAATTTTATAATGTTATATTTTGGTTGATCGTTGTTGATGAAACGTCATCTAATTCTGAACAAGGATCATCCAAAACAGTACATCCAAGATAGTATTTATAAATGTACAGAATGAGTACCTTGAATGTGCCAAGGCTTGTTGATTCTGCGTACAAGGCCCCTGGATAACTTCAGTGAGCGTGTTGAACACTTGTGACGCGACACCTATCGCCTTGAAGAAGTTCGCTTTTCCAGCCGGGTCGATTAGTTCCTGTACATAACATTTTCTTACAGTGGGTAATTAAAGTTTTACTTAAAACTTGCATATAAAAATTGTTTGTTGGAGGTGATTGTGCAGCATGATAACGTTGTCTGTCTAGCATGTGGGTGATTCGAATTCGAGAATCAGTGTTATACTTATATAATATACTATATGAAAAGTATTTTTAAGATTTATTATAATATATATAAGCTATTGTTGTATGTACCTATATTAGTTCTTAAGTTATTTAAATAAGACAAAATGTACGGAGACTCGATCCCCAAGTCAAACCATCAACACGGTTTTGGGGGACAAAGAATGTCTCGTAACTATAATACACGTTCACAAAGTGAAGTTAAATAAAACTAAAATAAGTCCATAAAGTCTTCTTTTGAGTTCACTCAGATAAAATTTAATGCTACTGGTGGCTACGGCTGTGACAATATTAAATATTTAGTAATATTTAATTTTAAAAAAACTGATATCTAACACAACGCCATCTAGTTTCAAACTAAGCAGAGCTTGTACTATAAAAGCTAGATTAACTGATAGAATACTTCTATACTTTTTTTTGTAAATACATACGAGTGCATACTATACATAGAAAACACCCAAACAGTAACAAATATTTGAAAAGCATACAAACATTCGGTCCGACCCGGGAATCGACCCGAGACCTCAGAACAGCAGTCGCATACGCTATCACTGAGCCACCGAGGTAGACTATGTGACAGGAAATACTTCGACAGAATTAGTTACCTTGCTCGAGTAATGCCAGTAGAAATCCATGATGGACTCCTGCAGTCGCAGCAGATAGTCCACGGTGCAGATGACCACGTTCACAGTCGTCGTGTTACCGGCCTGAGTTCGGAGATAGTTTTGCCAATCTGATAAAAAAAAACATCGTCAACATAGCAAAAAAAAAAAATAGAAATCATGGAAGTACTTATATTCACTTATTACTCTGTTCAACCAAAAAAAAGAAAGATAGACAGAGGGGCAGATAAATGATGGAGATTAAAAGGAAAGGAGAGAAGTTATCGATCTCAAATGCATTAGGTAAAGATGAGAATAATTTCTAGTAATTAAAAAAAATAAACCAGGAGCCTAAGTTTGGTCTCAGGAACATGGAATCCCTAAACTGAACCATGACAGATCAAGAACGAATAATGGAAAATACTAACCCAAATTGTGACCTTCACAAGTCAGCTGAATAAACCTGAATAGCGCGCAAGTGAATTCAGCATCGTGCATGTTCTTCTCTCCAGCAGCTCCCTCGAGACCAACACCAAGACCTGGAGAATCACTTCTTAGAGTCAAGGTTTAATGAGTTTATGGTATTGGAGAAGAGTTGCCATCCTTTTAAAAACGCAAAGGTAGATCGCTTGGTATCTTTAGAAGTTTTGGGGGACTGTTAAGGGCATAGTGCCTAATAGACCTGAGAAGACTAAAAAGCCTATACAAATATATAGTATTTAGAAAAAATATTTTACCTTCTGCTTTGGTGTTCCTTTCAAATGCATCCAGATCCAGTACGGAGCAAGAATTCATGAGACCAGCTATCGATGTGAAGAAACCCACGTCTTTTTTGTCCTTCAAGTGATTCAGCATACCCTGAGTGCATATTTATTTACACATTCGTCAATTCGTCAATGAAATCATGCCAATGTCATAATACACTAGTATTTACCAATTTATTTATATTATAGAAAACTTACCGATAAAAACTTATTATTATATATGCTTAGAATCTTTAAAATGTGAAAATCTTTATAATGGACTCATTTGAAAAGAAATCGCAATCTATTTAAAAAAGGAATGGAAAAACACAAAAAATTTTTTTAGCAGTTTTTTTTTAATCCAGTCTTTTTAGACGAATTTAACAATTTCATTTTTGTCACGATCTTAAAATTTAGCTTTTTTATTCATCATAATCATCATCATCAACAACAGCCTTGATTTGTCCACTGTTGGAAACTTAGAAAGGAGGTTTTGGCCGACTTTACCATGCTGGCCAGTCGGGCTGGTACAGGGTTTATGTTAAGTTTTCCTTCTCATTGGAGTGCTGTTGTCCTGTCTAGTTTGCTCCCTTAGTTGGCTGACGACACCAATGTGATGAATGGGGGTGGAGACAGTCCGTATTCTTAATCCATCACCACACGGATAGTTTCTGTCACCACGCATTTTTATTAGTTTAGTAATATAAGTAGTCCTGACTCACCATTTGTATATCAATATTGCCCCCACGCAGTATAGAGATGCCCAGCTGTAGAGTCTTCATAACCATTTCACTGGGCAATCCTTTAGAAGCTGATATGTGCAGCAGCACCATCTCTGCCACACCTCGGTCAGCCAGACGTGCTTGGTGGAAGAGGAGCTTCTGTTTCTCCATTTCTTGTTCCTGCGTGATAAGTTGAAGTCAAGGAAGAGTTTGACTATGTTTGATTTATTGTGCTTATGCATAATAATATAATGTACTAGCTGACCTCCCCCCTTCGTCTGCTTCTCTCAAAAGGAATAAATGTTTCCCGTTTTCACAACATTTTTCATTGATACTCGGCTCTCATTGGTCGTAGCATGATTTTTTATGGTCTATATCCTTCGTCGACTTAACGGCTATCCAACATTAAAATATTTTTTAATACGAACCAGTAGTTTCTGTGCGTACCCCGAACATACAAACTCACAAACTTTACCTCATTATAAAATTAGTGGATTATTTTTCTATTGAAAAAAATGACTTGCACTATGTTAGTATTTAAAGCATGGACTTGATTCTACTTGCAAATATTTGTATATACGTCCGTTTTACTTTTAAATTTATCATATAGAAAATACTTACGATAAACATATCCGTGGTTTTCTGCATGCAACATTTGACTTACATTTATTAATAAGTTAGGTTCAGGGATTAATTTTACAAATAGGTGCAAAATCTAATCATTACTACAGCTAATTATCGTATGAGTATGGAAGGCTCTACTGGACATTGCTCGAGAGCTAGGTCCAGTAGTTCCTCAGTATTATGATCCTCAGTATATTGAGTTACAAAAATTGAACACAATTTGTATTTAAGTTATGTGACAAAAGATTCAAGCAAATTTAAAAACAAATATGGTCTCTACTCCTAACAAAATAAAGCTATATATTAAACTTACGTGAATACTAGCTCTTCCTTCCTCTTCTCCCTCAGCTTCTCCGCCCCCTTCTTCTTCCTCTCCGCCACCTTCTTCCTCCTCTTCTCCGCATGATTTTGCTATAATGTGCGCGTAAGACATGTAGAGAGGATCCTCCTGTTAAAGAACATGTTTATTATTCTTCATTTAATATTTACCATAGTGGGTGTAATTGGTAGGAAATGTATGTTAATTTATGTAAAATATATTTTTAAATTTGTATTTACGGTGAAAAATAGGCAAATGAACGCATTATATGATATTTGATAACTTTGTCGATGTGTGAACTGATGCGATGTCGCTAAAATATCGTTCAAACGTGGCACGGCATTTTCTTTCAACCAATACTAAATTAAGGTTCTTAACGACCCCGACTTACAAATTGCATCAATGATTGTAAAGATCGCAAGAATATTCTCGATCAAATCGATCGAGATCGAGATCCAATAATAAAATAGAAATTCTACAAACAGTAGCATTCATAAGACTGTACGTGTTATCAAAGCTACTCTTCAGTAGTAGGAAGTTCTCGTTGTTCGTGCTAACGAACGGACGTATCGCTTGTGCAGTGTGTGTGGTATCGATATCAAATAAAATATTACAGTTTTGTGTGTTACGAGAGTTCAGAAGTGTCAATGCCTAAGATTTCTCGGACTCCTACTAATACTGCAGAGGCAGAAATCCCTTCTTCGGACAGATCTGCTTCGGATGCCAAAGGAAGGCAAACACCCATAACTAAATGGGTTGGAACACGACAGGGTAAGAAGAAACGGAATGATGAATCAGACAGTGATTCATCAATTTCGCAAGAACCGAGACGGCACAAAGCTCCCTGCTGCTCCCCTCACAATGCCCTGGTAACAATGAAAGCTGTTCAAAAAGAAGTCAAAGCAATGAATACTCTTCTTAAATCGATGAAAGAAGAACAAGATTCACGCTTTTTACTGCTTCAAAAGGATGTGTCGGACATTAAGTCACAAGTGGGTGAGTTGAAAAAAAATCATACTGATTTTGAGAAGACCTTAACTTACCTTGCGTCCCAGTACGATGAAATGGAAATATTTAAAAAAGAAACTACAGAAACTAATAAAAAAATGGAAAATAGATATAAAGATTTGATATAACGAAATATAAACCTAGAAAAATGCAATAAAAAACAACTAGAAGAAATATTACGATACTTGGAATAAAAGGAATTGGATAAATATATTGAACTAATGAATTTAACAATGCAAGAAGGCGAAAAGATAATAGAAGTCTTCAAATTAGATAAATCAGAGATCAGCGTGGAGGGTAGGTTCGGATAAAAAAGCTGTCCGACCTGTGATTGTAACGCTGCGTACTGTTAGAGATGCCTTATGTAAGCATTCCTGCACACCCCACACTTCTACTCTGCACACTCAGCATTTCTCCATCAATAGCCGAACGACCCGTCCACTCATGACCAGTCTCATCCCGACATCCAAGCCAGACGGTTGTCTCAACCCTATTTTAGTATTTTATTTCTTTTTAAAAAGACAAGTTCCCCGAGACTCGTAACATATTTGGTGGCAGCGTTAAGGGATTCGAAAAGAGTCCCCGGTACGTCTCTTAAACAGTTCAAATTCGGCGCGAGTGTATTTGAGTGTAATTGCCGACTCCATAGTGTACAAAGTGTCAGTGCACCGAGTTCGAGCCCGACTCCTGGACGTCAGTGTTCGTGATAAAGCTTGTGAAAGGCCCATTGCTGTGCACCACCCGTGCTGCAGCCGGTCTTTGTCCAGAACCAGAAGGATTACACCCATTGTCACGCCAAGTTAGTGCTGTGACCGGTGTAATATCTCCAACGACGCGACGACCTTCGGCTTATCAACGCCTACGCTTCGCCTGTGAATCTTCCAAGAAACCATGTCCGTTATTCTTATCGCGCTGTCCGCATTCCAGTAAGTGAAACCATACACTTGGTCATTGCTAATATCTTATTTAAAACTAATACATTATATTTGAGATTTTTAAATATCATTACTCTATTCTGTAACGTATTCCGTCACATACGTATATTGTTCAAATTATTGTTATTTTAACCTTATTGTGTATTTGTAATTATTAAGATGACTGAGAGATCCCAAAGTCCAAAATTGGAAATTAACATTACTGATACCGAAGAGGAAGGCCAAGGCCTCTGCCCTCCCCCTCAAGGACCTTCTACTAGATCACAATCAAAAAAAATTAAAACTGTAACATCTAAATTAGAAATTGAGCTTTCCACGTTATTAAAATTCATAAAGCCATACGATGGCTGCAGAGAAAAACTAAATTCCTTCTTAGTAAACTGCAATAATGCCTATGAACTAGCATCAGAATCACAAAAAGACATACTCTTTAAATACATTCTATGCCAACTACAGGGCAAGGCGGAAACCGCATGCTCCATCAAAGAATTTTCAAATTGGCAACAACTGAAAGAATTTCTAAAAACACAATTCAGTGAAAGAAAGCACTATGCCCATCTTTTAACAGATTTACAGGAGTGTAAACAACAAATAAATGAAAATGTAAGTCAATATGCTCTAAGGATCGAGACATGCCTGTCTCATCTATTAACCGAAATATCTATCTCACACGGTCATAAAAGTCGAGAGATGATAGGACGAACGGCAGCCATGGAGGAATTAGCCCTCCATCATTTCCAAATGGGATTGACACCCCGTATCTTTAACATTGTCAGGGGTAAACCAATAAAAACTCTAAATGAAGCCATAAATATGGCTATTTCAGAAGAAAAAATACAACAGTCCCTATCCAGACAAGGTCCGAATTCGTTAAGCACTCAACAACCTCGACAAGATAGGTCAAACGCTACAAAACTAAACACTCAATTTATTCGTCGTAACCAAAATCAACAACCCTCGACCTCAAACCAGTACAACGTAAAACCTAGCTTTAATAACCCTAACAGATCTAATAATAACTACAACAATTCCTCTACTCAATTCTGTAGGTACTGTAAAACGCCAGGTCATACCTTAGAGCAATGTCGGAAAAGGGAGTTCAACAACAACCGTTTCAAGAATTTCGACCCAAATCAGCAAAGAACGCTACAACGCGTCAACTTCATTTCCGACGAATCCTCAGACAATAACGATGGATATTCGGCTAACCCCACAGAGGGTTATGACACCGTTGATGCCGATCCAAAAAACGAGTAATCGTCTCGTCCCGGTGCCGTGCGGGACGTCATAATTCAAAAAACGGTATCACAAGTCCAAAATCCATTGTATCCGTGCAGCAACATCATGTTGATCTGCCAAAATCCTCTGTATCCGCGCAGCAACGTCATGTTGATCTGCCAAAATCCTCTGTATCCGTGCAGCAACGTTATGTTGATCTGCCAAAATCCACTGTATCCGCGCAGCAACGTCATGTTGATCTGCCAAAATCCACTGTATCCGTGCAGCAACATCATGTTGATCTGCCAAAATCCTCTGTATCCGCGCAGCAACGTCATGTTGATCTGCCAAAATCCACTGTATCCGTGCAGCAACATCATGTTGATCTGCCAAAATCCTCTGTATCCGCGCAGCAACGTCATGTTGATCTGCCAAAATCCTCTGTATCCGCGCAGCAACGTCATGTTGATCTGCCTAATTCCACTGTATCGATACAAAAACAAGGTAAACCGCCAAAACCTTCTAAATCAAATATTTTTGAAATTACAAATAACCCTGCAAAAACATTATTACCACACGTTCTAGTTAATTCCGCCGTATTAGACATCCCGCTATCCTTGTTAGTAGACTCAGGGTCATCTGTAAGTTTGATAAAACATTCATGCATAGAAAAGCACCCTAGACTTATCAAAGAAACGATTCAATTAAAAGGCATTGACTCGAAAGAAGAACCCATCAATACTCGAGGCCACTTCCGATTAAAATTACAGCTTTCTAAATCCACAATATCACATCCCTTCCACGTCATTGACGTAATACATTTACCTTATGATGGAATTATCGGCTCCGATATGCTGAATATGCATAACTGCAACATTAATTATAATAATAATCTGCTCCATCTGGGTAATTCATCCTTAAAATTACACTTTCATGATCCCGCTTACTTAATTCCTGCTAGAACCGAAACCATTATTGAGTGTTCTGTGTCTAATCCTGAGATAAAAGTAGGGGTAATCCTCGATCAGAAGTTTTCAGAGACTTTATTGATCGCCAATTGCATAGTACGCGTAAAAGAAAACAATCGAATTAACATATCCGTCGCTAACACTTCCGATAAACCCATCACGTTAAATTCGAACCTAAACCTAAAACTTAATCCTATTGCACCTTCAGAATTCAAGGAACAACCAGCTAATTCAATAAACCATATACGAGTTTCAACCAATAGCGTCGAGCGTACAGCAGAAGTATTAAAACAGCTACGCGTATCACATTTAAACGAAGAAGAAAAAACCGCTCTTCTGCAATTATGTTCCGACTTCTCTGACATATTCCATCTTCCAGGAGAAAATCTTACCCATACTAACGCCCTAAAACATGAAATTAAAACTACAACGGACATACCAATACACACTAAATCTTACAGATTCCCCGAAATACATAAAGCCGAAGTCCGTAGACAAATGGATAAAATGCTGGAACAGGAAATTATAGAACCCTCTGATTCCCCCTGGTCATCGCCAATATGGGTGGTCCCTAAAAAGCTTGACGCTTCTAATATCCAAAAATGGAGAGTAGTAATCGACTACCGTAAGCTTAATGACGTAACAATCGGTGATACTTATCCTATTCCCCAAATCACCGAGATCCTTGATCAACTTGGTAACAGTAAATACTTCTCAACCCTAGATTTAGCATCCGGGTTCCATCAGATTGAATTAAATGAAGCCGACAAACCCAAAACCGCTTTCACTGTTCCTGAAGGACATTTCCAATTCTCAAGAATGCCATTCGGACTTAAAAACGCTCCTTCAACATTTCAGAGACTTATGAACTCCGTCCTATCAGGTCTCCAAGGAATCCGATGTTTTGTGTACTTAGATGACGTAGTCTGCTACGGGTTTGACCTTGAAACGAGTATCCGCAACCTAAAAGAGATTTTCCAAAGAATCCGAGATTTCAATC